GAGCCAATGATCCTTAGGTGAATCTAAACCCATTTAGCTAACCAGTTATCTATTCGATATTACCGTGGAAAAATCCAAACTATATATCAATATCATTATTCATTGGGACTGGCACGGGGACGCCTCCTAGATGCGTATTTTACCCCAAATATGAGTGAAGTATGCGTGTAGACTGGAGTGAGATGATCTGTGTAGCTTTGTCACTGACTAAGATCAGCTGTTTCATTAGCCAGGATCATTTATTTAAAGCCCAATGATCAGAAACAGCTGGGTCCAGGTTGGAACCATGAAAAAGCTACTTACTTTACAGGATCGATCTGGCAACCTATTGATTGTTAGGTGAACACTATAACCACTCGGCTACCCAGCTAGTTTAGAAGTATAATGTTCGTCCAAAACTTACTCCAGAACAATTATTCCCGTTGCGTTGAAGATAATTAGCTCAGACTCTGCTTACATAAACAATATGAAGAGACTGAAGGGTTATACCTTTTTACTGTGCTATCTCATACTTTTTTGTGCCTAAATTAAAATTGAGATTTAAGATTTTTGCATTTCTAGCCCATTACATCATATACTAATTTGCCCTTAACTGACCATAAAACCACATAGTTTGATGTTGATGCTTGTTAGGAATGCACTAAACCTCTTAAAATGCTATTAAATCTCTTGATAGTCGTTCTGGATTCGGAGCAACAGGTCGGAGTAGATTCTATTTTTTTATCTTCTGATTGGGATTTACTGGAAGAAAAAACATAGTTATTATATATTGGCTGTTAGTGACGTGTATAGTGAGAAGAGATCCCATATCCAGATGATGCTTTTACGAGTGGTGTAATTTGATTACTGTATTAGCTATCAGGATAAGAACAAACTGTCTTTAGAGTTCGAGCAAACGACAAATTTTATTTTAATACTGTAGCCTTGAGTTTTGAAAAGAATACGTTAATTTATTTAACACAATTCAATCGTCCAGTTTCTTCAATTAATAATTTTAAAATGCCGATGAAGTGCGCATATTAGAAACAAATTAGATTAGAATTCATTCATACTACTGGAACGTCAGTTATTAATAAATAATATAATGTTACCTTCTAACGTTCCAAAATGGTGTAGTCATACGACGCGTTTCGTCAACACAGTGACATCATCAGGTGATCCGCTATCGCTTCGTCTTGAACATGAACACAAAACAGTCATAACACATATCACGAACACACAATTACTACATTTAAGGACCGATCGGTATTGTCGTCGCTGTGGCCACAACTCGTGGCAGTCGTCGCCCAGAATTAATCATGTGCGTACGCGAGTTGTGGCCACAGCGACGACAATACCGATCGGTCCTTAAATGTAGTAATTATGTGTTCGTGATATGTGTTATGACTGTTTTGTGTTAATGTTCAAGACGAAGCGATAGCGGATCACCTGATGATGTCACTGTGTTGACGAAACGCGTCGTATGACTAAACCAATTTGGAACGTTAGAAGGTAACATTATATTATTTATTAACAAATTAGAACCTTTTTTAAATGATGTTTTATTGAACTCACTGGTATGGATCATAAACGATAAGATATGGTGTTTGAGGTATCAACTTTTACGATTCAATATTTTCATGAGGCAATAGAAAGAACGTTATGACTAGACAACGCTTTCACTCGGGAGGTTAAAGGTGTTAGCTCTAAATAATTGGAACTACCAAACAACAAAAGAAGTTCTCACGGCGTTATAAAATAAAATATAGCTTTAAGAGGCACTTTTCTCATGAGTGTAGTCAATCAAAAACACTACTATTACATTTAACTACAAAACTGTTAGTCTTGTTGTCAAATTCATAAATCAATTAATTAAAAAAAACATTCGTTTTAACATCACGGGCGAGCATTATATGCGCCAACTACTCCAGGGAGCCACCCGATACGTTCATTGACTGTCCCAAGTGGTGACCCTCTTTGAATAAATAATTAAGTGGATTAGGTGAGGTTAGGTTAGTTTAGGTTAGGTTAGGTTAGGATGACACGTAAACTAGCTCAACCCTTCCTGTCTTGGGCTTAGCGCAACTAAGGAACATTTTTCGGGACCCTTTGAGGGCTTGGTGCAGTTAAGGAACTCTGTGACGCAAAATGCATGACCGTGATCACTCTACCAACTCATCAACTCCTTACATTCCTCGCATCTTTCACCACGCAAAGCCATCTCTGACAACCTTGAAGAAAGCGCTTCCAAAGTCAAGGTTTGTCACAATGATATCAATCGGAGGCGTGCGTGCAATTATAGCATTGTGCAAGCGACGTACAATAACTACGCTCGTCTCTGTGTCGCCGATAACGTGGCTTTCTCTGCAATTTACTGTCAAGACAGCTTCCGGTAGAAGAGTCGATTGTGCAAGAGAAGAAGTGGCGATTACAGAAGCTTTGTTGCAGTAAGTGGACTTAGCATCCTTCAGGGAAAACTTGGAGTTCCTCTTCCTGGGAGGAAAGTTGAGGGTGAAAAGATGTTGGAAAATGCCTCTGCTATTGCACATGATGTTAGATACATACACTCAGGGTCTTAGAGTTTAACATAGGTGATGCTTTTGAGGTTTATCTTAAAGATGAATGAATGAATGAATGAAAACGTTTTTATTGAGCTAGCTTTATTCAAAGTCAGTTCGTTGTGTTTCAATACAACTGTTGCCAAAACACTAAACTACAGATGGTGGCCATTACACTGAATCTACGGCAGTAGTTTTGCATTTTATATTTTAGGAAGTTCTGAAAATGGGTAGGAATAATAGAGGTTAAGGTCATGTTTAAGGCCAATGCAAACTAGACTAATAGAAGAATACCAGAGTTAAGTGGAAGAAATAAATATAAGCTTCGTGGTGTTAAAGATTAGTAGTTAGCAGGCACTCGAGTCAGACGAAGATATAGTAGTTATTCAATAGTCACATTCTCATTGAGGCTAATTCCCATTTTCAACCTTTCGGTATTGAAATCTAATAAGAAATTTAATCGTGCATCTGTTAGAATACTCTAAATATTAAACCAAAGATTACACCATTAGAATTCAACAACAAATTAGTTGTAATAGCTGTATCGTTAGTTTTAAAAGTCTGTATAAAATACATAGGAACAGTCCACGCAAAAAAATCTTATCGAAAACAATCCACAGAACCACAAAATACAGCCTCGGTATAAAACAATATTGCGTGAAAACAATCATAGTTAGAAAGTCTCCCACAACGAATTTCCACGGCAAACGTCGCATTAGGCGAAACGGGCGAAACATGGCATTAATTCAAATTACAGAGCAATTCCCGTCATCTTCAGCAAACAGGAAGATGGATCTTCACAAATAATCCTAATCAGTAACATTCTCTCATTCAACCTGTCATTTGTAAATTCTTCCTTGCGTAACTTCACTTTCGTCCCGGGATGACCTTGACTTCTGACCCTTCTTCCTCAAGACTGAAGAGGTCGAGAAGCTCTCTCTGTGCAGAAAGTGGACCTGCTACTTTTACCTCAGATGTGATGTAAGGATTGCAAGGGTCAAAGGGTCGAGCATGTGTGGAGTGACCAATGGTCATGCAGGGCCATTGTATGATAATGGGAGATATCAAGACTTCGACTAGAGATACAGGAAATTCCCCATTCTGCTGTTGCTGTAGACTGATACTGCTAATCTGGGGTCGTGGAACAATTGTGGGCTGACTGCATGTAACTGAATAATCAATCAGTACAACGTATAATCTGGTTTCTGTATTAGCATATGCTCTGTTGAATTGGAAGAATTTCAATGACCTTACTCAATGAAGATATAGTACCTTCATGCTACTATAGTTAGACATTACAGTAGTATGTCAAATTTCCCCTGGGGGTGTTTAATTTCAATGCATCTAGGGCTAAAGTAGTCATTTATCAAATCCAAGGGAATGTATGGTTTTCATAAAAGATATTTTGTATCTGTGTCACAAGAAGTTTTTTTTATTGTAGAAATGTAAAGCGAAACAGTGAAATACTAATGGCTCAAATAACATTTGTGGATGACCGTGTTTTCTTTATTAAAGTATTTTTTTTTTTTTTTTTAATAATATAAAGTAGTACCTAAATCAAACATCGTCATTGGCTACTTACAAGACATTTTACCGTTGAATAGTAAATAAGATGCTTTCTTCTTATTTTTTTAAGTCCACATCTATTTTTATTCACACCTTGAACTATAAACAGCGTTGGTCATCATTTATCTTCGATCACCTTTGTTAAGCCTTTGTACGGAGACTCCTCGGTTGTAATAACTCCTAGTTAGGAGCCGCTATCAGAGTGACTACACGGATCTACTGCTACCTAATCAGCTGATTAGATGATTGGCGGATCAGCTGACCAGGGGCGGGAATGGCGCGAGACGGGCGGGGAAAGCGCGGGAAGGTCACCAGACTCGGCAGTGTGGGAGAAACCAACAATGCAGGGAAAGTGGAGAGAGGAAACACGCTAGGAAATGTCCTCAGCTATCAGAATCAAACAGTTTAACACTTGACGAGGATGAGAAGATGAAGGATTCAGTATTATGAGAATCTCCTGACTAATCGTGTATTTCACTCTTGATGAAATGCCATTCGTGAATATCTCGTCTCAAGGGGATCATTTGTTAATCATTTGTTTCATAGAATTTCGACGCTTTAAAAAATATATCTCATAACTTCAACCTTTCTTTAACACATAAGTCTTCACCCCAATTTAAGTTGACATTATAAGCTTCGGGTAGAGAGAATTCTCCATATTATAAACATAGAATTCCTTTCAGTATTCCTATGACCATGTAGTTTGATTTGTTTTATTGATTCAGAAACATTTTTATTTTATTCAATGCCTGTAATTAATTATAATAGAGTTTATTACAATGAAACATTACTAGACACGTGTTAGATTAGTTATATTCTTAGCTATTACACTACTTATATTGATAACCAATTATATAGATAACATTTCAGTTTCAACATTAATGCCTTTCTTTTCAGTTTCAGCCATACAACCAGCAACTGACGAGGCAAAGTCTGTCACCGCAACAACAAAGCCAGATCCTGAACGACATCCAGCAGCACCGGTTCCAACTGACTGCGGCCCAGAGGCATCTCCAGAACCTCCAGTACGACCAGAATCATGGACAACAGGAGAGTCGCCCTCCGCCGATAGAACAGTCCCTGGGGCTCGGCCAACAACCGTTCCTCACGAACGCTCAGTATCTTGCTCAGCTGCGTCAGCAGCAGCAGCATCTGCAGCCGCCGACTCAGCAACAACGACAACCACACTACACACCTCAGCAAGTGATTCAACAAAGAGTACCTCAAGCTACATCATCAAATCCTCAAGTAGCGTTCCCTCAACAGGTTCCTCAAGCGTTCAACAATCCTCACCAACAAAATGTTCCTTCTCTACCTAATTTCTCCCAGTTACCGTCAAATACCAATTCAAACTTAAGAACTCAATTTCAGCAGGAGTACAACAGGCTGCTTGCCTCGCAGCAGTTCACGAACCAACTGAATAACCAAGGTCTCAACGAAGAGATTCCAGTGTTTTTCAATCAACAAGATGTTCAACCACAACAGACGTATAAGTTTGAACCTGCGCCACCGACGATACCCACGAAGAGTTTTAAGTTCGAGCCTGCTCCTGAAAAGCCTACTTATAAGTTTGAGTCTGCGCCAAAACAGACTTACAAGTTCGAGCCAGCTCCGCCTAAGCCGGTGCAGACAAAACCGACTTATAAATTTGAACCTGCTCCGACAAAACCACCATACAGGTTTGAGACACAGCCGCCGACGTTCCTACCGACTCAACCTACCACAAGGCATACGACATACAATTACTTGAAAAAGAAAAAGGCTGCCTTGACAACTACTACGACACCCCCTACAACCACAACCTACGGGATACCTTACAGGCTGAGGCATAAATACAAATCCACAACAGAGAGCCCCAAACCACAAGTGTCGATTAGACCGACTCAGCTTCTTATCAAACCTGACCGTCAAAAACTGTTTCAGCAGCTTTTAGAAGTGCAACAAAGCAAATTACAAACATCGACTACACCAGCCCCTAAACAAACGCCAAAACAAAATGTGATTGAGTTTGATAGTGAAGACGCACTGCAAAAGCACATCCAACAACAACTTCAGAAACAAGGGCTTTTGGATGAAATCAAAGGCACCATCCCAGCAACATCTGATCAGATCGATGCTTTGCCCAATCTTGACTTCTTGTCCAACTCAAATTCCTCATCACCAATCTTTCTACCCAACGGGCAAAATATCAAGATCATTCAAGTACCAAGTAAAATCGATCCCAATTCGAAGAAACCGACACCAAAAATAAAAACGATCGTTATCAACCAACCAACCACCACTACCACTACCACCACGGTTAGACCACCAGAACTTCTACTGAAGGAGTTGACCAGAGGCTTGCCCAGAGATTTCGAAATAATAAGACAAAACCAAGACGGTGGCTTAGAAGAGCTCGGTAGTGTACCACAAACGTTACCACAGAAAAAAGTTACCTTCGTTATCCTAGAAGAACAACCAGATGGATCACTCAAGGTTCAAGGGGTGAGGGGAAATGAAAACGGTGTGAATGAAAAGGGCGAAGAAGTAGACTCTATAATTAAAAAGATCGAAAAGGGAGAAATTAAACTACCGAAATCCACAAAGGCGGAACACGACCATCAAACGTATTCAAATTCCTTAGCAAATGCCACTCCGGAAGAATCAGTTGAATCTCCATCTTACGTGAAGCATTCTGGAAAGCCAGTTCCAAGCACTAAGTACAACGGGTTTCAACCAACACCAGCCCCCAACTATTTCGAGTCATCCACAAAACCAACTTACAGTACAAACTTCGCTGTGACAAAAACCACTAGTCAACCATTTGTCCAATCGTCAAGATCTTCTAACTCAGTTTCTTCAACGTCAAACACGTCACCCAACACATACACAGGACCCTTCCTGTACAATCCCTCCTCAGTACAACAACCGGTGAGTCCCCAATATCACACCTCAACTTCCAGATCTCCTTCAAAGACTCCTTCCTTCTTGCCAACCGTGCCTTCAGATATCGCTGAAGGATCGTACCCCACCAACTCCGTAGTTCCTACTCAACCAACCACAGCTCCTCCTCCTTTGGTGTCTACAACTTCTCAGTACAGTCAAGTGAACTTCTCACCTCAAGACAATTTCGATGATCCTTTCTACAAGCAGATCTTCCAGCAGAACACAGTGTACCAACCTAACAACCAGTTCGGACAGACATTGGCTGACGCTTACCAACCTGACGTCATCAATCAACAGGTGGACCTGACGTTGACTACTACAGAGCCTGTGCCCATTCAGCAGGTAGTTGTACTTATTTTGATGTCTTACAAAGATGAAGTTTATTTTAATATCGAGTGAGTGCACCAGTGAACGGTTGTTTCTTATAAAAAACATCATAGGCTATTTATATAAGCTTTTTGTTTTGCCTAGTTACATCGTTGGCCTAGTCTATCAAAAACGGCTGTCTTTGGAGCCCGATTGGAATCTACCTTGTCACTGGTTCAAAAAAGAGTCAATTATCCTTTTTAAACTCAAACAAAATTAACTATAGCAAACGGTTCATTTTCAAGCTTGTCACTCTAGTGACTCGTACGAACAAGGTCGGTTGTATTACTACGGTTCTTAGATTATTCTAGGAAACTGTCTGCCTTATGTCGCTATATGTCATTCAAAGTAAATGTTAAAGTACGATTAATTTTTCTCATTTAAAGATCAAAATCCTAACCGGCAAACATTTAAAACAGTTGGGCATTTACTGAACTTTGGGTACAGCCAGTGAATAACTGTTTCGGTCATTAATTAGTTTTTGGATAAACTTTATTTCAAAGTTTTGAAACGATTTTTTCTTATGGACTAAGTGCTAGAAATTACAGTACTATAATCTTTGACTATTGTTAATTCAGTTTCCAATGGCAGCGAATGGTATAATTTAGTTTTTATTAACATGTGGTTTATACGATTATTATGAATAGGTATGAAAATGTAATTTAAAAAAAAAATAGAAACATTATAATTGTGACCTAGGTTTTGATCTCTCACGTTTTTTATAATAATCATAGTCATTGTTATGTTTTGTACCCAGGTAAACCAAGAGGCCTTGCCCATATTGACGACAGAGAAGACATCGTTGGTGGACGTGCTGCGGAACCAAGGTCTCTACGCCATGTCTAAGTTCCTGAGGCAATCTGGGCTTGACTCTATACTGAACTCTACAGGTAATCAAATACTGTTGCTATTTATAGAACAGTGTTGGCCAGGTTTGGTTTGCCACGGTATCAAAACTTGTATTATCAGCTGTAATCATTTATCTTAATCTCGAGATCTCGAACATTTTAAAAACTGCACTACAATTCTTGCGATTGACTTACTCAGGCTCATCCCTGAAGAATGCAACTAAAGCGTAGAACCTTCAATGTTTGAACTTCACTTTATCGGTCGCCAATTTCTACACATATTCCCAGGTGTTGATTGTTATATTCCGTTGACACACAAAATTTATGCGGCTGGAGAGGAAGCAATTCCATCTCCTCTACCTCACCCTAACTTTGAAACAACAAGCTCAGCTGATATGTATATTAAGCTAAAAAAGTGTTGGGGAATCATAGGAACCATCCCCTTAAACCGCCTAAATTTTGTGAACAGGGTATGATAGATTTTTTTTCAACGATCCCATTAATATTCCCTTCCAAACGCTAGATAAATTCAAACTGATGATCTTTTACAAGGAGGGTTTCATACCATGGTGACATGTTTTCTTAGGCTACGTATTTTTGTAAGGTTTTGTGACTTCAACGACAGAATGTAGGAAATCTTTGATAGGCTTATCAAATAGGTACTCGAATTCTAAAATTAAAATAGTTTGCAATTAATATTTTATATACTTGCCAATACTTGCTTTGTTACCAGTGGTAAAATTGCATAATATTAAATTATTTCTTAACAATTGACTTTTTCATCAGCTATTAGTGTATGTAACCTTTCGAAGTGATGATAATAGCTCGTAACAATTGACCGTAACAGTAGTATAGTTTGCTTTTCATAAACAATTAACTTACTATTCCTTTTTAAGACAAATGTGTGTACATCAAAAGGAAATATTCATATTTAATAAAACTTCCTAAGCAAATTAATTTAATTCGGAACTCGTTGAAGTCATTATTATTGAATTACTTCTCTTATCACATGTCATCATAATAATATGAATATCATTTTATATTAACCTTGATAACCTCTTGAACTCACAGGTCATCATTCAAACTTTGGCTTAACCTTAAGTAGTTGGTTTTTATTGTGACTTAATTCATGATTGTTTTTCATAAAAACGATTGTAACATTTTATTAGGCCTAATTATATTCTTTGCAATAGCTATTAAAACAGTTATTAAACATTTAATATAAGCCCATATAATACAGTTGTAAATCTTTAACGGTATCTATCTATATATATAATACGTGAAGCCGTATTTTGTTAACGCAACTCCTCCCTTATTTGTGGACCAATTTTAACGTTTAAGGTGTCAAAAGATTCGTCTCAATATGTAGTTTTGCAATAAGGTTTTAGAACTTTAAAATGTCTACTCTTAAGGGCGCGAGACCCTCTCAAAGGTCGGGGTTTCCCCATAAGAAATACATAGAACAAATTTAAAAACAAAAAACAGCTGTTTATAAGAAGAAACCTTTTAGCTTTTTGGGAGTAAATATTGATGTTTAAATATTCAGTAGGTTAAGACCAAATTAAACAGTTAATCAGTTTTGTTGGAAGAACGGAAAATGCCTCAAGTTCAAAGAAGAAATATTGAAAACGGGAGGAGACAATTATTAATAATAAGATATCTTATGCGTATGAGGAGAGAAGAAAAAGAGAGGTCTGATCTAACAGATACCCATCTAGATACACATTCACTTGGTGAGATGAATAATATTTGCCAGTTCTGCTATGCAACTTACTTTGGAAGTGAAAAAATATATTAAGCACATAGTGTTGTCACTGTGGTAAAGTATACTTGCCTAATGTCAGGTCAAATGAATGCATGCGAGAAATGTTTACTTCTGACACTGACAGATCTCAAAACATTTAGTACAAACAATAATAATGCCTTGACTATGATAAGTTCAAGTAGTAAGGTTATACAAAATCTTGGCGGACCTTAAGTTTTTATTGTAAACTTTTGTATTACTCGCTCTACTTTAATTTAGGAAAAAAAACAAATGGATTGTTTACTTCTCGGTTATGTTGCCAGTTCCTCGGACAAACGTATACAAAGTTTTTGACTGAATTTTAGTGGCAATATTAGACATAAGTGAAGGAATTAGTGTTTATGTATTTAACGATCGATTAGTTACAGTCAAGTTTATTTTTATGATTCAGGAGAGGCAAATAATATACGCTGTTCAAAAAGAGAAAATTAAAATTCCTATCCAAATCTTATAGCTACAAGAGTTATCCAACCTATTTCATGGTGTTGCTGCTTTAGCCTATTCAACGCAGATTATGGCTTTCCAGTTGATAACCCAGAGTTTGTGGGTAAAAAATGGAGCACATTAAATGGTTGATATCACTCCACTTTTCAGGATTCTCTACGAAGAAAATTCGTTTAATTAGGAGGATGTCTCGAATCAAAGAAATAAAATGACCCAACTTAAATAAACACAGGTTATAATTAAGGCAACAGTTTTCTTCAATTCTTAATGCTGGAAAAACTTTGTTGCAACATGTTAACTCGAATTGAAGCAGATCGTTTAGCATTCATTATAAGTTATCAATTAAAACTGAGAGCAGAAATAATGTAGGTAGACCTTGACGACGCAAACAGTGATATTTAAAATTAGTTTCTAACAAGTGTTTAAACAACTCTGAGATGTAACTAGAATTACTTGAATTTAAGCATGACGTTTTCCTCGGCGTCATGTTTCATAATATGCGGCTCATTGAGCCGCACGGGTTCTCTAGTATTAAACTAATTGGCAAATGGAAAATTCGTACAGAATCCCATGGCGGGATTTTTTTGAGTTCGCATATTTCTTTTTTTCTAATACCACAATAAATAAAACATATCAATCTTTTGCAAATATTATTTAAAAATATTTTTTATTCAAATCTTGATAATTTAAATATTCCCAAACGCTTATCTTATTTGTTAAAACAATGAAGTCCAAACAATGATTCCTAAGAGAAGGATTTGAAGGCTATTTTACTTTCAAACAAAAAGTTCATGCCCCGGGTGAGGATCGAACTCACGACCTTAAGATTATGAGACTTACGCGCTGCCTACTGCGCTACCGAGGCTGAGGGTCGAGTCGTTAGCAGCCCTTATTGGCCCAAAAACTAATAATTAAAGGTAAAGGTAAATAGTAAAGATACTTGAATGATATAGCATGCGGAATGTCAGGTTTAGGGTTTTTGTGCCCTAACTTAAAAGTTGATTTTATAGGTGCATACACTTATAATATTGCAGTATTAAGATGCACGTAAAGAAATAGTCCAGTCAATGAATGCTCAAAAGGGGGGTGTAGAGGACATGGAGAGGGGGAAATTTTTTTTCTGCGGGAATGTGTTCGGGGTAGTTAGGAGATAAAAATACCAAAAGTCCCCGCCCCTGGCCCTGCTGCTTCAGCGGGGGGAGGGGGGGAAAGACCCCATTTTTTAGTTTTTTACTTCTACACTGAAAACCGTGCATCGTACGGAAAAAATGTAAATTACAAAAAGAAAGATGATGAAATTTTCTACAAGAATGGTTATATTCATTTCTTCCGTATATGCATTGGTTTAAAAGATATTCTCAAAATAATATAAAAATTCTTAAATAAATCGATTTTTCACGCGTTTTTTGTCAAATAAGTTTATATAATCCATTAGCCTGTTGTTGTTTCACATCAATCAGGATAGAAAACATGTTTTTGAACACTAACCTATATAATATAATATATCAATCGTATATATTGTGTTAAACATAGTTTATATAAATTTAAATAAGTTATACATATTTGTCATGGAAACAAGTAATTTTGGCATAATTATTACATTAAAGTTAAAAAGATTGTGTTTGTAGCTATTTTTGTCCAGGTTTATTTATAACAATTACCGAAACCAAGACTTAATATTATTGTTCATGGTCTGGCTCACTTGGGACGAGAGGGTCCGACTTCTGTCCCAAAAACTGGTGCCATCTGGAACTGAAAACCACCATCTAGGACATTTCCATCATTATATTCTTGTTTAGATTAGACTCAATATTGGCTATCAAAGTGAGAATTCGGCGTAGGCCTGTATATTCTTCATCTTCCTCATTCATCAGAATGGGCATTTCATGTAAAAAGATCCCTTAGCAGTTCTGGCATAACGGAGAACACTTATTGGACATTTTCTTGCATGCACAAATTGCACATCTGGTACTGTTATAATCTTGAGTGCATTTGCAAAAAAACTGGGATTAACTGTTCCTGGTTACTATAATTTTGGTGTCTCTTTTCAAATTAATATCTTACTGACTAGAGGCGATCCCTTGGGGGGGGGGGGGTTCTGATTAGAAACTATCTTTGTATATGATATTGTATAGTTGAAATTTATTAATCCAGTGCAATTAGGTTAATGCACCCAAAATTGATAACAGGCTGAAAATTGGTGGAAATGTTCAAAACAATGTCCTGAGTGGCCCACACAAAGTCCCAAGAAATCCCAGTTGGGGAACGGCCGCCATTTTGGAATTTAGATTTCATGCTGTATCTTTTGAGGTAATTGTCCTAAAGACCTTATTTATGTCTCAAATTAAACGTTTTGGGCTCATGTATGAGGGTAATATATAATTAAAGAGTTTATTATGTTCTAAGCATAAATATTATTTATATTAACCTCAAAATATCTATAATAATGATATAGATACGGTTATGTCCCCCCTTTTATACGAATTGTGGATATTTATAGGCATGCAAGGTGGATGCGATACTCCCAGGTGTGGATTAACGTCTGCACGGGTGAGTACTACGACTATCCGCAGTACTTTCCTGATAATTAGACCAATTCCTAATTACCAAGGCAAAAATGTGGTTCGGATTCCACTATAAACTGTAGGTCCCTTAGTTGCTATTAGCTGTATGGGCTATTAATTAACAGCTGTGTCTAAGGAATAAGTAGGTCTTAGTCACTAACAAGACTACAAGATCGCGCCACTCATTCTACACTCATCTCCATTCACACTTGGCTTAAAATACCTACTTTGTATGGTTGCCATTCCATAGAACAGTATATATATTGAGTCTGATGAACAAGAATTGGATTATGGAGAGACCATGAACAATAGTATTAAGTCTTGGTTTCGGTAGTTCATATAAATAAACCTGGACAAATATAGCTACAAACATAATCTGTTTAATTTTTAATGTAATAATTATGCCAAAATTACTTGTTTCCATGACAAATATACATAATCTATTTAAATTTATGTAAACTATTTTTAACACAATATATACGATTGATATATTATATTATATAGGTTAGTGTTCAAAAACATGTTTTCTATCCTGATTGATGTGAAACAACAACAGGCTAATGGATTATATAAACTTATTTGACAAAAAACGCGTGAAAAATCGATTTATTTAAGAATGTTTATATTATTTTGAGAATATCTTTTAAACCAATGCATATACGGAAGAAATGAATATAACCATTCTTGTAGAGAATTTTATCATCTTTCTTTTTGTAATTTACATTTTTTCCGTACGATGCACGGTTTTCAGTGTAGAAGTAAAAAACTAAAAAATGGGGTCTTTCCCCCCCTCCCCCCGCTGAAGCAGCAGGGCCAGGGGCGGGGACTTTTGGTATTTTTATCTCCTAACTACCCCGAACACATTCCCGCAGAAAAAAAATTTCCCCCTCTCCATGTCCTCTACAATCCCTTTATTGACTGGACTAAAAATGATTTACGACTATGGCGTTGCAAGGAATGAAAATTTAAATATTGCGAAAGAAACAACGCCAAAAACAGATAGTTTTCTATAAAACATTACATAATCGCAATAGATATGAAACTATCGTCATTAAATTTGAAGAAATACATCTCTACTAAAGTTAACTAAGTATGGCTTTTAAAAATTTGAGATGGGTTGAAGAATAATGCTTGCTTGTAATAGCTTATTGAATTGTATTTTAACCCATGAGGACAATAATTATAGCTGTTGTTGTTGTTCGCAGGACCCTACACAGTGTTCGTCCCTACAGACAGAGCGTTCAGGGCGCTCCTGGTACAGCTGGGAGGTCCTGACAAAGCTGAGGAGAAGTTCCAGGAGAACCCGAGACTACTGAGTGGGGTAGGTGGCTGAAACTTGGCACTTATGCATGTTTTGTTACATAAATGAGTTAATCTGTGGTTAAGGTCATGTTCGTCGTTTCTTATTCTGTTGTTGATGTTAAAATTCCTCCTAAATCTTTCACCTGAACTGAAGTAAAAAGAATTGTTCAACCATAAAAATTACAGATAATTCACATGGTTAAAATACGAGTATAATACTAGTATAATTATTTGGAATAAGCAGTGAACTCCTTCTACAAACAGAAGACAGTTTTATAGAATGAGAGGGGAATAAAAGGAAAAGTCTATGCAAGCAGAGACCAAGTGGACCCGGAAGTGTAAAAACTATAATAATTGTGTGAAAACAGAGTTTTCAATTCTTCCTAGTATTTTGTACAACTTGTATTGTACGGACAAAACATAACAAATTAATTGAGCTTAAGGCTGTTATTAATTGAAAACTGCATAGTTTATTGGTTAATGAAATAAGGGTTTTAATAATTTTAAATGAACGCGTGCGAAAATTACATACGTTTGTTTACTTTTTTGTGTCGATTGTAAGTTTCTCTTCATTCATATGTTTTCATACCGAGCCATATATTTAGCGGTTGTCAAACAAAAGCAAGGGACGATCGACAAAGGAACGATTTGTTAAAAATAACTTGGCATTGAGCTACTCTACTCAACGCCGCCTCAACGTTTTGGTTTTTATTAGACACAGGAACAAAATTCTATTTTAAGCATAGTAATCCTTTCTAGTAAATATCTCCCGTTTAGTTTGTATTTTAACATGACGCTAAGTAGGTATAAACTGAGGTGTTAAATAAATTAAAATCTTACCTCAAAATCTGCGTATATGCCTACCTTACCTTACATTTGAAAATAATTATTTTCTGCACGCGATACAAATTAAAGTTTCCCAACACCAGATTGCCACCTTCTCAAGTTTCAGACTTCAAGGGAAACCAAGCAATTTCTATTTCAGTGACACATTGACCACTCATTATCAACTCCACAAACAAACGGCTGGAACAGTTTCTGTATGTGGAACAGTGAAACCAGTCGTTGCAACCGCTGCGAGGTACCTATTACCTAGATTACTGTTAATGACACATTGCTGCAATTGGAAGGAGCGGAACGTGTTTACAGTCCTCAGAAGCGAGGAGCGAGCTTGCGAAAACTGTCGAGATGGACTTTCAAATTAGTACGTAGTGTTCATCCGTGGATGACGTTTTGTCTTACGGAATATCTCCAGCGTAATCTAGATACTGTTGTACATTGTTTGAAAAGGAATGCTAAGGAAAATTCTGGATACAGCAAAGTAACAAATTATTAGTTTTCTTTAATTTTAAATTGTGTTTTGATTGCCTTAAAATGTTGACTAACGAGAGATAAAATATTCAAAGAATAGTACTGTCACTATTATTTAATCACTAGAACCCAAAGTGATTCTTTTAAAATTGGCTATTTCAACGACCGACGTTAAGCAGAAGGTTAGAAAATGAGCAAAAAATATGTTTCGACATAACACAGTATGACAAGTTGTACACTATTTAGGCCTAAATAGCTTGGTTTTTAATATTTTGAAGCACGCCAATTCACTGGAAGCAACAAATTCGATGGAGTTTATAATTCGATATCGATACAGTTGCAGTACATTCGATGAATAATTACAGCCAAGGTTTCGAAGTGAAAAATGTACATATGATGTGCTTGACTTCTGTCAATTGTTTTATAACCCTTGGGATGAATATAACAACTTTAGCCCAGCAACACGTGTTTTGAAAACACCCGGTTTAGCTTCAGTATAACTTATACAGTAGCATATCCCCTCACCAGGTCCTAAGGTCGGAAAATAAGCGAGGGTCGGAAAATACACTTTTCGACTGTGTGACGATGTATATTTTACGTCATCCTGCGCTATTCTTCAACGAAGAAAGTAATTTACAAAACAATGATTTAGTACATTAATTACCGCCAATCCCAATATTTCATTCATATATTTCTACTGAAATTCTTGTACTTTTCAGTTTAAATCTGTATGTAGAGAGAAGTGTAGATACAAATACAATAGCCGAAATACGACACTTTCCACACTAGTACCAAAAAGACACTTCCGCTCCTTGTGATGAACAACTATTTTAATTATACTGTGTGAATAACCTTCAAATCGTAACAAAATTAGACCACATAATTTGAGGTTATACAAATTTGAGATCAATGTTTATATAGTCTGTTTGAGACATACAACTTAAAATAACCTGTGAATATCCGCGTTTTCGTAATCCACTAATTAAATCACTTAATTACTCACCTCTCAACTCATTTGGAAGCAATCATACCATCGCCTTCCTCGACTCTTCCAACACAAAATCAGGAACACCTTCTTATGTTGTTTTATTTTTGTCATTTATGTGTGTTTCAAATAGTAAACAACATTAATAAACAAATTTTGATGATAGCAAACAGAAACATTCACCATATGATTTTTTTTTGCTCCCTATTTGTAATTACTCGGAAATTATGATTTTTCGGACGATTTGAAGAACTAAAAACTGCTGTTTTCCGGACAGTATGATTGAAAATATTAAAAAAACGAATACGTTGATTGACCCGTTAAATGGAACTATTTTCTTTGCCCGAGTTAGTGAACTAATTTTAAAGTCATTAACATCAACAGCTGATTCTTTAGATCCGCACCGCATGTATTGAAAACAGTAAATTTTGCATCACAACGAAAATACAATAATTGTTTATTTAAATCAGATGAGTATCTTGGCTGGTAGTAATTACGCTAATCTCTCTGGACCGTATGCAGTAACCGAGTTGAAGCAGGTTATCGTTCTGGTATGCAGTAATTAGATTGCAATGTTGCTGGCATATGTAAATATATGCAAGCATGCACAAACGTGCATAAGCATGCACACACGCACACGCGAGCGTATTGTATCAAACCGCACCTGTGGTGAAGCAAATGATTCCAATGAACGGACTTCATTGAGCGGTGTTGAATCAAATAGCGTAATTTCAGATTATGTTGAAATGGCTTGATTTGTTTTGTTGTTGAGACTGTGTTGAAAGTCTTAATCAACTTATATTTTTGAGATTGAATACCAACACAACCTGTCCAGCTGAACTTCTATAGACGTTTTAATGGAGGTCCTTTCAGGGCCCTTATCACGTGATTTTATGAATTTACACGGTTTAAACGGCTTGAAAGAGTCGTGGAACTTAATGCTAGATGAACATGTCACAAAAAACATTTTGATAAGTTTTAAAATTTACCTTTAAATTTAGCGACGGGTTTTTTTAACTTACGAGGTTTTAGTTGATTTTTTCTCTACTTATTAAATCTATTAGATAACCGATACAGTAGGCCCAGTAGATTGGAATAATACAAAAAACTATTTCACATGTACAATCAAACGAACCAATGAAAATCCATTCAATTTTTTCCTTATAATCACGATGTAATCTTGGTATATTATGATGGTTCCCGATTAATTAACTAAAAAATAATACTTTTTTAATAGTTATGTTATAAGCCAAACAATATACAGACTGTCCCAAAAGTCCCGGGCCGGTTTAATATTTTCTAAACGACAACAGATAAATCAATAAGATTTGGTACATCAACACCACACCTAAAAAACTACTTTCTTATGGAAATATAAATTTTCTGTCACATCATGGGGACGTCCCGCAAGGAGTCAGAAGGAAATCTTAAATAGAAGCATAGGTTGACATGTACATCAAATTAAAGGTCTTTACTAGCAGAATATAATGCTGCAAATTTGAACTCAAACGGACAACCAAGTCAAGAATGACAGTGGTTCAAAGATTCATTTAATTTGCATTTGGGGGCACAGCCCTAGGAATCGGAAAAAAATTTTTAACGTAAGCATAGGTCGATATGCACATCAAATTAAAGGTCTTCACTAGTAGATTACAATGCCGTAAATTCAAGCTCAAAAGAACGCCTGAGTAAAAAATGGCAGTCGTTCAAAGATTCAAAATGGCAGATTCAAGAAATCTTTGAACGGCCGCCATTTTGTAACGGGTGATCCTTTCGAGGCGCGGTTTCCGGCATTGAACTCTGCTAGCTAAGCCCTTTAAACTGATGTGCATATTGACCTATGCTCCTATTTAAGATTTCCTTCTGACTCCTCCTGGGACGTCCCCATGATATGACAGAAAATTGATAGTTCCTTAAAAAAGTAGATTTTTAAGTGTAGTGTTGATGTGCAAAATCTTATTGATTTATCTGTTGTCGTTTAGAAAATATTCAACCGTTCCGGGACTTTTGGGACGGTCTGTATATACTATATACGTATTAGTTTCTTGAAAGTGTTAGGACATCGGGTGCTGTAAGATGACTACTCATCCGCAATTTGTGTATGCTTGAGTGCTCTATATAAGTCTATTTAAAAATGTTACTTTATGTCATGGTGTTAATTTCAGTGTACGATTGCCTGGTTGAAAACCAGAAGAAAATAGTAGTTCATCAATATTCGTTTTGCAATAATTTTTTTATTGGTAAGAACACTAGTAATATATAAATAGCAGTCAGTCACCTAAGTTAATTGGGCAAGCTAACTTGAATACATAAATAGCCATCAGCTGATCCAAAATGACGACAAATACTAGGAAATGTGTTTAATCCACGGCGATCGTTGAGCGAAAACATAGAACTGGCCCCAGTACGTGCATCTGACCGGCTTCAAACTATTTTACACTATAATATTCTATCTGATGTACAAGATCAGATTCACGTCCTTTTTATCCCGCAGGATCAGCATCTGATTCAACTACTTTCTCCTTCGCACGTTCTCTGCTAATGTACAACCAACACTGAGATGACGCTCAGCTGATTGTTTCCGGACCAGTTGAACAAAGTGTAACCGAATTAGTGCGATTGGTTTACTAGTGATTGTGTTCGCTCCGAGATTGGTTTCATTTGGTTTACATAACCTGATAGGGTATTTGCATTCGAGTGAATAGATTCGTTTCGTAGGACAATGGGTAGTTCGTCCATAGGTAATAGCCTACAGCATGGATAAAACATATTCCATTAGCAGATTTCTCATCCTTATGGAACAGCTGAAGCCAATTTTTATAGTTCTGTTAGTTTAGCCAAAGACAAAAAGAATTAAATATATACCGTCGCTGCGGTTACCATTGGTTCTGGCACACACCGCTGGGAGCACCATGTAATTACGGCGTTTAGCGCTACCAAAAGTCAATGGCACTACGTAACTGCACGGTGCTCCCAGCGGTGTGCGCCAGAACCTATGGTAATTGCAACTCCGCTGACAGTCTATATTTAATGCTTTTTGTCTATGGTTTAGCACTCTGTAGAGGTCGTGTTTTGTATACGATTTGTTTCTTGTTGTTTCAGTCATTTAAAACCTCGTTTACCAAATATAACGATCAAATTATAAAAACTGATTCGTTTCCTAGTCATATCATAACCAAACAGTAAAACAGAAATCATTTAATTAGCCCCAAAATAATAGAAACAAAATTTCGTCGACACTAGCGATCAGTGTCAGCGGACATGAACTAGACACGATAAACGAGCTTCAAAATTTACTATGGGGTGAGAACTCTAATTGTTGTGTTGGTCTATGCTTACAGTATCACCTGTTTGAATTGGTTTGAATTTATGTTTTCGTTAGTTTGATGTACAGTCGGGATACACCTGAAATAAAATAAAGAATTTCGATTACGGTGAATGGAACTTGTACTGAGAATCATCAAATCTGACTTATATCTCTTGAGGGTGTTAGTTCTAGGCTTTTAAAAGACACAGCTGAACTCAAAAACGAAAACGAGTAGTCAACAACGAGCACTACTGTTGTCGATGGCAAACAGCCAGTAACAAAGCTACACGAGGCGTCTTACCACTCATGCTTCGCCCATTTTCAGGTTAAAAAACGGAGCATTGGGTTTCTTGATCAATCTAATGATAATGATAAACTCCACCTAATTCAGTGCTACAGTAATAAATGCACTCAATCAGAACTGTGCGCAAACGACAAAAAACAATTAAGCACATACCATACCCTTAATTATATCATGTAGGTAGTGTTTATTTTTGTTGCAAAATTACTATGCAATCCAAACTTTTTTGTTTCTTACTGTTCACGATTGCAGCACTTAACACTTCAAATCCATCACAATCTTGTCTTAAAACGAATGACGATCGAGAACCAGTATGATTAAGCGTTTTGACCTCCCACCTCCCACGGCGCCGGCGAAAGTAAAGAAAAGTGACCAAATTACCATCTGACCCTTGACCCTTCCATGAAAGGACTGACCAGTGACGGACGAACATACAAGAAGTTACGTCATCACGTCATACTTCCGTTTCCGTAATGAGAGGTCTTGCAAAAAGTGGCTTCCAGACATGTTTGTTAAGGTAGACTACAACAGCTGGGTTGTTGTATCTACCCACTGAGCTATAATCTATATCAATGTATCTACCAAGTAGTTTTAGTTTGGAACAGAAATTGGTAAAAATAAATCAGCTGATTCAGTAAAAGTTGGGATAGGTTAGGCATTAGTATGGTTATTTATGTTTAGTTCCAGGAGACCGAGCTTTGCTCGGATTGAATTAACCATTACATTTATTAGATACGTTATTTAGCTAAATTAAAGATATTTATCATGCACGGTAATCGATGTGAACCATTTTTTGATTATACAAAGAACACTAAATACAACATTATAAATACATAGATTTGCAATAAAAATTACCTGTTGCAGCTGCTTTATTAACTGCAGCTACAAAAAGGTACTGACTTGAAAGCTTGGTTACCAAAATGGCGGAGAAACAACGAAAATGTTTGTCTATTTACATCTTCGTTTCTGTTTTTGATTGGTGCTTACCATCTAGTAAAAGTGTTACAATGTCTAGAACATGTTAAAACAAATCTTGATTTTAGTTGTGATCACCAAGCCTACACATCGACATGTTGATATTAAAATGATTCTTTGTTAAATAAAATGTGATTGGAGCTAGCATGTCGCCTAATTTATGCAAAGAGTGAAGTAAGAAACACGAATAGTTTATACAATTAAAAAGTCGGAACCGTGAATTGAAATACGATTACAATAAAATGTGAATCTACGTCCAAATACTGTAAAAAGTAGTCTCATATTTGTTTAAAAAATATGTTTGAAAATTAAAACTTGTATACATATTTTGGAAAAAAGATTAAGGGTGGCTTGGATTCAAAGGACTTATTATAATCCTGGAACAGTAGGCTACAACTTCTGAAAATAATGGTCAAACTTCTTTTACACACCAATATAACAGAATTATTTTTTTAATTCTCAAATAATTTTCTTTACAAATCTTAGTGTGAATATGTATGATCTTTGACTATTAATACAACAACGGTATGATACAAACAAGTTTAGATAACACCAGTCAAGAACGCCACTAAAATGCAATCAAATGCATCATCCGCATTCCTATTGGAGTATGCTTGTGCAAGTAAAATGATCGTTTGTAGAAAGCTACGTGTCTAGTGGTAGAATTTCTTGTTCCTTCTGCCTTTTGACCCTTGTTGATTATCTTCCTGGACAGTAGTGTGACCTAACACCTAGGCAGAACCCGTAACGGGGGGGGGGGAGCAAGCGTTGAGAGGGGGGTCCGAAGAGCCAACAACACTTTGAGTTAATTGTTTACAAAAAAAATCTTTAGATATTTCTGCGACGCAAATGTAATAAATACACGCACCCAGCGATACGACCCAAAGAGAGTGAAAACTCCTTATTTTGCACCAACAAACAAACTACAATATCAACTGCAAGAGATTCAATCAGCGAAGGAATGCAGGATAACATTCGTAACAGGGTGACGATGCAGATGTGTGGAAATAGTTGATATAACAATCCTGCGCTCGGAAACGGTCTAACACGCAGGACCATGTCCGTGTGTATACCGGTATTTGTGTGAGTAATCACAAAAACATACGCACATTGAATGTTGTATCAGTGATGGCGAGGTAATACTCTGGTTATATCATTTTCTTTTGGACACAGGAAATGGACTAGGCGTTGCATTTTAAAAACTGAAACGGGTAATATTGTGATGTCGGAGTGGAAAAAAATACTTAAATTTTGTATAGTTCAACAGTGGAGGTTTAAAAGCAATAACTTACCAAGTTGTATCCATAATTGAATGCAGTCTATCCTGATAATTATACCAATTCGAAAATTACCAGCCAAAAATATGGTTCGGATTGCACTATCCCTTGTCATTAGCTGTATGGGCTTCTAATTAACAGCTGTGTCTAAAGAGTCTGTCGGCCTTAGTCACTAACAAGACTACAAGATCGCGCCATTCATCCTACACTCATCCCCATTCATACTGCACTTGGCTTAAAATACCTTCTTTTGTATGGTCGCCATTTCAAAGTAAAGTATTAAAGCATTCATTCTTATAACCACTCGGGTAGTTTTTTTCAAAAGTCTTAAGACACAAGAATTGTAAGTGCTGATTATTATGAACGACCTAATTAAATATCGGAGTATTTTATCGTTGGCACACCATAAAAGAATGTAAATGAAACCATTAACATTTGAACTTTCTACAAAATAATTCCCAATATTGTGAAATTATCAAAAGTTTATAGACTTTTTAGCAAGCTAATTTCAAATCCTGTCAAGTAACTGAAATAACGCGAACGCTTTTTATAAACCAATTAAATTATACCACGGACATTGAACAAGATCCGATAGTTGTCTAATTATGTCGATGTAGTTGGCCGTATCAGTGAATGTGAATGACAATAAGGCTATCAGTCCTATTGTGTGTGAGTTGTGGACGTTAGACAAGCTCATTAATTCACACAAGTGACAAACGAAGGCAAGTCTTGTGAGAAGTGACGGAGAAAGTAACTGTTGACCAGAGGCAGTGATGAGTGTGGCCTGGGCACCGCTGAACTATGAACCTTGCAACTCTGATGATAACAAAGACACTGGTTATCCTCCAATTTTTGGAGTGCTTTTGAGAATTAAGGTACAGAACAGAGGAAACACTCAATGGTAAACTTAGGTGGTGTCTAGCACTACTGATGGTGTCAATGGCAAAGTCCAACACTGCCCCCTCGCCCTCATGTACTACAACGCTTACGGTGGAGGAACACCCGCGCTGTGCACTGTGCAATAGGAATTTCCGCACAGTTCTCGCTGTTTGGGCTCTTCCTTGCTTGTCATTAGTATATTCCCAACTAACATATAGAGTTGAAAGAGTACCATAAAGCCTGTTTATTCTGTACTTTACAACTCTGTGGAGTAGCCAAAGATTACACAGTATTTAAAATGAAATGTCTAAACAAATTGTTGATTTCAGTTGCTCCTGCACCACGTTATCCCAGGAGCTTTCCCTCTGGAGTCACTCCAGGATGAGATGACCGGAGTCAGTCTGGCTGGAACTCAGCTGAGAGTCAACTCTTACACTACTCAGGACGAGCAATGGAACAACGTCAAGGTATCAAGTCCTGTATTTCACCACGGATTACTAGAAATTCACAATACCACCCCAAGTAGCAAAATAAGTCAAAGATTCATTAGAAGAAAAGCATCGTAATCCTTTTGAAACTAATATTCTTTTTCTTTTAGTTCAAATTATTCAATCCAAGTATAAGAAATTGCTTACCTCTTTTACATAAGCAATGATGACAGTAGTTATACATATCCTTCAGTTCAGAACAACTCTTTACAATGTTTAATTGTTTTCATTTACCGTTGAAACAAAATTGCTATCAATCTCAATAATATTCATCCACAGGTAATATTTGGTTTTTCAAAAAATCTTCATCACTGTAACCGTTCAAGCCTCAAAAATTATTCATAGATTTATTTATTCATATTTTAATCACAATAATTGGTCATGATCGTATGAAAAAAATCTAAATTCATATCAAATGAGTTTGTGGTGGACACACAAGCACTAGGATAAACTACTTAAGAGTTGTACATCGGTCAAGACTGACACTGGATTTGAACCCTCATATCTACCTTCAATGCTGTCTCTCTATCCTGGGCCAAAGAGACACCTTCTTAGACTGCTCTGCCATCAATCAGATCTAACAGTCTAGAGCTCTAACAACACTGGTAAATCCAAAGTAGTACTGTACTTCTAAACATAAATACTGATGAATGTAGCAGATATTACAGATATAGCCTCCACCCTCTTCTATTGAGTTTACTCACACAGTTTGAAACGGTTTTGTTTTGTTACTCTTAAACGAGGTGGCTTGGCGATTCAAAGGTTTAACAACCATTGTATTGTAGGTGGTGACCATCAACGGCGCTGTAGTCCTCCAAGACAAGAAAGACATGGTGATTCCCCAGGGAGTGGCTCATGCTGTGGACCGGGTTATGTTCCCTCTTCCTGTGGGAGATATTGTCCAGACATTGCAGTCCGACCGGGAGAACAGGTTCACAAGGTTCCTTCAACTCATCCAGGACACTGGCCTGTCTTCCACTCTAACAGGTGGGGAGTGCTTACAGGGTTGTAAGTGTGTAGAAAATGTGTATAATCGTAATACAATATTACAATAATTAAATAAAAGCGAACATAGTCGAAATGAACCACAACGAACAGGGCATGCTGATGTCAGTTACTCCAGTTGAACTTTTTAACCAAACATAGAACTTATTACAAACTATAGCACCTTTTAAGTCAAATTATTTACCAATCAATAACTAAGAATGCATTTATAACAATAATAAACTCCTGTGTGGAGCTCTTTAAACCATGTTCTAATAAAAAACAAAGTAGGCAATCGCTGGTCCATATGGCATGTGTTCTTCATCCAAATGTCAATGTTGTACTATAGTAATGTGAGTGTAAAAGAAGTCTTAATAATCCTGGAGTTTAATTTTGTAAAGGGCATAGTGTTTAGCTAAGTTTAATGAGAATAAGGGGACATAGGAAAACACAACAGAATCTGGATTCATCACAAATTTAAATTTTAGTCTTAAAGGCTAATTTATTGATAGAGTAGGTGGAAAAGTCTTTAGAACATAACTTACTTTAATCAGTCCATGTATTCAAATTTAACAAATTATTACTAGTAAATCATTCGTAAACACTCAACCTTACCTCAACCAGACCTATCTTTACAAAACAATACCATAGACTAAGAACTAAGGGAGTATGTTATATCTATGACAATACTTTCTCAAAAATCACTTTCTACCAAGAGTTGCAACACAAATAAATCTAACTCCACCTCTGCTTTCAGGAAGCAAGATACTGACGGTGTTTGCGCCAGTGGACGCTGCGTTTACAGAATCTGATCTAAAACGGTTAGAAGAGAACCGAGCGCAAGCTAGAGCGCTGGTGTTGCGCCACGTGACGACAGGCTCACTGTACACCGCTGGTATGACGTACTACCAGCAGAGGGAGTCACTCGATAAACAGAAACAACTCACTGTGCTCAAAGATCAAGGTTAGCAAAAAAATTACTGGTAAAATTTATTTTAACTTGCTTTATTTTCCCATAAAAACCCCACCAAATAAAAAAAATCTGATTTTAGGAAATAACCAGTTTAGTGTGTTATGCTCCTTATAATTCTAAACAAAATAGTGCAACACCCCATCGCTGTAACATTACGATTCAAAGATTATATCAACTTTTGTGAGTTTCTATATAAAATATCATAGTTACTCCCACCCAACCGCTTACACATGCCTATGATAAAGGTTGTTGACAAGAAGCTTATGGGAGAAAGTATGTCAGATTGCTGATACCGTTTATTTATTGAGTTCTCAAAAGCTTCATCAGTATTTTATCATTGAACAATATGTTTAAGCTATTAAACTGTGTTACGGTCTTCACAATCGGGAAAATAGTTCTATAGTTCGGCCGCTTAGAAAGCGACCTCCTCTAGCATTCGTTTAGCATTAGTGCGCAGGTCACTTTCTAAGCGGCCAAACTATAGTTTAGAGATACATTCGTCTAACAATGTTTTATTTTCCAGGTCGGATCAAAGTAAATGCAGCCAATGTGATATCCAGGAACATTCCCTCTACCAACGGTGTCATACATGCCATAGACTCTCTGTTATAACAACTTCTTCTTTTCTCTCTGCCATGTACATGTGTAAATACCTAATGTTATTTTATTAGTTAATAAATACCATTTTTATAAACTGGTTCATTATTTAGCCTATGAAATGCTTTTAATCCACCAAATCTATGTATTTAGAATATACCTCCGTCGTGTAACTGTCATCCAAACAGGTTGATATGGGAACATTGTTACCACTTTAACAAATGAGACAGACAATAGGACTGGTCAGAGAAAATCTTAGGAGTATAGGTCTATATGAGGAGAACACATTATCCATCAAGTGTGATGCTGCTGAGAAGGTCATCTTTGACTATGAGGAGCTCAAAGAGGTTAGGAGGGAAACCTTGCTCTATTTGAGGAAGGAATCATCTACACAGGATGAGCAAATTGAGAAGCTTACATTCACTTCCAATGAGTTAGGGATGCTCATCATGTCAAGGACGCCAAATGAGCGAGGGTCAAATCAACAATTTTATTCTTTGAATTTTTCCTCTGGCAAAATCAGCTGACAAATTTCAAAGGTTTAAAAATATAATTTGGCATTCTCGGCTCTAGCTGATTCCTTTCTGGCCTAAGGAGACAAATAGAGCTAGTCTCACATTAATGGCGGACGTTTTTGCCGCAGTTAGACAAAAAATACTTTTAGTAACCCATAGATCTAAAACATCAGGAAAGGTTAAATAAAAACAAACACAAGTTAGTTTTGAGATGTAATTTGTCAAATGAAAGACACATTACAATTTGTACAGAGTACACCAGACAACGAACGCTACTCAAGAGATGTGTCCCACAGTGTAGTGAAAACATACGATTGGTCTTTGGGATCACAGAACTGAACTTACCATCTTCGACTCTAAACTAAACTAGAACAACTGTAGAAGAGATCTAGGTCATAAGTAGTTTTCTAATCAAATGTCTACAGTGCTACAGTAAAAAGTCAAAAGACTGATAGTAAATGCAATTTTAAGCGTGTTTGTTCAAGTAAACATCCAGATTTAGAGATGAAAATAAAAAAGTAAATGCAACAATAAGATATAACTGATATGCGAACATAAGTACAGTACTACAAAAGTTAAGTACACATTGCAAAAAATCATGTTAAAATGTATAAACACATTAAAAGAAATTTTATTATTTAAATTGTCTATTTATCTGGATATTTACAGATCACAAAACACTAATATAAATAACTATACTAAATAAATCTGTATAAGAATATCAGATTTGTAAATATTTAAAGAATAAAATGCTGTTTTACTAAAATTCCGACAGTAAATCTTGAGTCAAAAAACTACAGATGAACAGTGATACGTTTACAAAAAATGGTCGTAAATAGGTTAGAATCACACAATCATTAGGCCTAAATAAGCGAGGGAAGCAAGGTGGATTCTAATTTAAAATTCATAATTGTAAAAAAACTCACTTCATTTATTGCTTGACAGTTTGAATATTCAATTGACGATAAGAGTTGACGATCGACACATCTCTTTCAGGGGACCACATTACAACCTACGACCTTACCCTACACACTTTCCTATACGTAAATTTGGCAAGGAGCTGCAACTCTAACAAAATAAATACTGCTGGAACTAAAACTGGAGATTTATCTGGAAATGAGTGGTGGAAGTTTAGTGTCTTCGCTTCATAAGCAAAACTTTTTGAACACAATTATTTTATTGAAATAAACTTGGCATTAAGGTGTATGAAAGAGTTTGATGGGTTAAAACTTTCCCTACCAAGATCCAATTTTTTTTATTTGTGAGTATTGTGAGTCTTAGTAGTGAAAGCTTTAAACAAATAGATAACAAGTTTGAAAAAGGCTGAACCTTTTAAGGAATGAGGATTCTTGTGTGGATAGCAAGCTTACCTACATTGGAAAGAAACAAACCGGCACAAGAAACACAGAACACTGGCCACCATCAGGCGTGAAGAAGAACCTTTCTTCATCTCATACCTTTCTCAGTTGAGAACCCTGCCAGTGACAGTGAAATATTCTAATTTTTTGTCTATAGTATAAGGGTTTGTGTTTCTTGTGCCAATTTGGACTCTTCTCCATTCAGGTAAGTGCCATTCTGACAAAAAATCTATAACACCAAAGGTCTTGTGCCCTATATTATAAAGAATTAACTTAATAATTGGTTGCATGTTGCATCGCTCACAAAAGAATTGAAGACTAAGATTTGCTGAGCATTAAAACCAATAGAAGCATTTTCACAGCCTACATGATTACATCACCTACATGTGAGTCAAACTCAGTTTTGTTGTTATGTACATAGAATATAAAATATATCAAAACGTAACGGAGCCATGTTAGTATGCCTGAGTTGAGCGAATATTGAATATGGGTGAATATCGATTGGCACATGTTAAATCTCACTATTAGGTGCTGATTTTGGAGTAGTGACTGTTTCAAGTGAAAATTTCTTCCAAGCTTTTTACATTGCAAGTAATACTGATATGGGTGGTTTCCATACAATGCAGTGCCAATATGAAAACAATGAAAGTGGAAAGACATGTTTTTAAACAAAACATTTTACAACGGTTTCTCTTAGGTGCAAAGTTTAAGAGATAAATGCAAAGGCACAAACAAATTATAAAAATGGATACCAGAATAGTTTTGCCAATAGCCTAAGTGCCTTTAAGTGCTTAAAGTGTTTTTAAAATTGGCCAAAAATTCAAATGTATACCTTTTAAATTTTTAGATTCAATAAACAATGTATTTTACACATTTTCTGGTTAAGATATGCTATGAAGTATATTTAGGTAACACAACTAGGCAAATAAATATTAAACCTATTAAAACTCAAATGTTATATTAAATCAAAATTATAAACCATTGATGTTAACCAATCTGATGTCTTAAAGTTTTGTTTGATTGGCACTGCATATAGAACACTATGTAGCATAGACTTAGATGTATAGTCAGTGAATATAGCAGCAGAGCCCACGATAAAACTTTACGTTAATAATGCACCTTAAATTGACTAGTCGAAAGAAAAATCATCGCGCATATTGCACTGCTAAATCTCATTCTTTTCCCAAATCTCACTATATTAGAAACCTCTACAAAGTCATTTAACAAAATTATACAGAGAATTGTAAATTTAGACTTAAAACTTAATTTATCCAACTAACAGCGACTTGAGAATAAAAGACAGTTAAGAACATTTTCCATGCACAATTAAGAGCTACCTAAATTAGTGGTTTTCACACAAATCTAACGGCTACAACTAGTCTAACCTAATATTCTATTTGGCTAAACATTTCAATATTTTTGTTTGGCGTTTCTCTAACAATAGTTTGAAACATTTGCAGTTCATGCGTTCGGAGTTTTGAATTCAAAACTGATTGGAAATTAACATTAAAAAATGAAAAGTAAATTATACATCGACACTTAATTCTTAGTTTTATATTTAAATATATTTGAAGTTTTATTTTCAATATTTAGAGTACAGTATAACATTTAAATTTATTTGGTTATTAAACAGGGTTGGACAAATTATTTCAAATCTACTTTTTATTGTTTGAAAAACATCTACAGAATTGAATTTTCTATTTAACTAAAGAAGAAAACAGTTTTTTTAAGGTTATCTAATTGTGCCCTTCTTTACAAGTATATATTTAAATTCTTTGCAGGCTTTAATTTATTAGTACCTATTTTTAACAGTATTTTGGAAGTGTGTGATTAATATTTATATTAAACAAACTTATGGTTTTCATTTAACCTTGAAATTTAACGCACTATGACAATCTTTCTTTAAAAAACTATAGATGGAGGATAAATTATTTAAAATATGTTATGATTATATTCAACTAATATTTAAAAAAAATGCTCCATAAATTATCTTCATTTATAAAATATTTACTAGAATTAATTAAAAAAAGATATTTTTTTTCAACAAATTAAGATCAAAATAACTTTAACCGACTTACAATAAAACTATTTAAAAATTTAACATTTTGTTATTAGAACTATGATAAAATACATTTTTACAGAACAAACAATTAACAGAAATATAAATCTTTTAAAATTATTATTTTTAACACTCAATGAATAATTTATATTAATTTAAATAACAACAATAATATTATAAAACATTTTTTTAATAAGCAAAACTAATATTACATATCCCTTTGTATTCAACTGTTTTACCCTTTCAATGAAAGATTGATTAAAATTTTTGTGCACATCTTTTTTCAAATTTGTTTGAATATAGTAACAAACAAAGGAAGAAAAGGGAGAGAGAAGAAATGGAAAATATGATATAAAAACGACCCTTCATTCTCAATAATAGCATTGAATCTAAATTCTACTTTGCCTAACATATTTTGTTATCACATTAATTCAAAAAGACAAATTTGTTATGGGAAGAGGAATAATTAAGTACTACTATTGTTTTATTTATATCGTATGTATGTAAGTTTATATAAACAACACAACCCTCAATTTGAGCGAAACTAGCTCTCTTCACTCTACCTTTAAATGTTGTATTTCTAATTTCACTATTACATGAACAGGTCAACCAATTTCCAACATCCGATATTTTTAATACTGTAGTTCTAGATAGAAGATTATTAAAATTATAGATTTAACTTTAATTCTTAAATGAACAATCTCATCACTTTTCAATTAGTAAACAGATTTCAAATTTAAAGTTATTAAGAATTGTGAAGGATTTCATCCCCCTCCCCCAGGGAGAGAAAAGTCATAGATAATAATGAAAGTTTCATTAGAAAAAAACTACAGTACTTGATTAAGGGAGCCAAACTCTATCAACAATATCAATACTGAAAAGAGCTTATTACTGTTTTTATCTGTGTATAAAACTTTTTTTGTCTACTTAAAAATTAAATTAGCCAATTTGAAAATACCAACTGAATTTTTAAGGTAGTTACTGATGATATTAGGAGAAATAAAAAAGAATATTTGAAAGAGCAATTGTTATAACAGATTCTACTTACATCTAAGGAACTAACGTTAAATTCTGTAATGCCACAGATTAACAAGAACCCTGTACAATATTTACAAAGAAAATATACAGTAACAATACTCGTACACATTGGATTTTTTTGTATATTAAATTTAGAAGCAAGTCATGACAAAAAAAAGTTAGTTTAAGTTTACTTTCTTTTACCAAATGCGTTGATCCACTAAAAAACTTTAATGTTTTTCCGGAAAAATTTAAATTAGTTAGACATTTTTAATCTAGTAAAAATTCATAAAGGGGAAGTAAGAAGGGGTTTTTTTTTTAATAATGGCCATTAGGAAATCCTACCAACTAAAACAACAAAATAAACTGATTGAAAATCAGCAGCCACGATAATCTAGCCATAAGTTATTCATAATTGAATGAATCAAAATAAATGAGAAAATACAAAAAAATCCAATGGTGCATAAACTAGCTATAAAATCAACACTATTAAAATTTCACTATACATATTCTAAAACTTCTTGAACACTTAACTATGCATTACTCCATTGGAGAACAATCAATGTTACGACTAACAATACTAAAAACAGGAAGCTAAAACGTGGAATCATTTCTTACTTGTTACAACCACAGTTGGATCTACAATAAAATGCTTATGTGAAATAAATGTATACAATGTTAGAAATTAAATAGATACATTTTGATTGAATTCTATTTTCGTTAAATCCCTGTGTTTATAAAATTGAACACATTCTGTTTCTGGAATAAAATACGAGAGCGTTTCAAAATCAGATGAGTAATATAGTTTCAAAGTACAAAGAATAAATTAAGTACCTACATAGTTGTCATATTGCACTTCTTTATAACTAAGAAAAGTAAAAAAGTTTAAAACGCTTAAAATTAACGTGACAATCTAACATTAAAGCTATTATTGATCTAAACAATATTTACATTAATTGCCCTTACGTATTTTTGAACAAAGAAGTATAAATGCACAGGCAATTATCTGGTAAAAGGCAAAAATGATCTGAGTATTTTCAAACATTATAGCTTTTAGTCGTCAGTATATTATTATCATTAGTTATACAATCAAATTCATGACTTGAGTACTATCATTTTTACAAATCTATATGTGTTAGGCCAAATACAGGACTTTTGATAGCATTTAGGACTTTAAAAAAATTAAATTTTTTACCACTTTTTGGCAGTTGAAGTGCTTTAAATTTACCATAAGACAATGCAATTATGTTGCTTTACCTTTAACTTAAGCCTGAGGAAATGTAGCTATTGCCCGTGCAGCATATTCTAGTTGTTTAAACTTTTTCCACGGCCACTTCTTTCTCTTTGGAATGGGACTTGTCTTGTTCAGAGGTCGATTCAGGATGTTCCTGAAACAGGTTGGTGTAGTATAGAAGAAGAAGAAAATACAAGAACTTTGGTATTTTTAAAGATGTTGATATAAGTAGTAATGGTACAGTAATGTGTTTTTAAAGTTCACTATGCAAAGTAAAATTATTTTAATTTGAAGGTAAATTTTATGGACTTTTCCTACAGCTAGACAAGGATACTCATCTTGTTTGCAAATGATCCTAAGCCTACACTTAGCTATCTAATTAATCTACCTTTACTTTTTGATTCTGCAATATAGCCTCTAATATGTTCTTTAAATATGATCATGGAGGGATTTGTGGGCCAGACTTTTATACTTTGTATTCGGTAAAAAAGTTTTGGGTTTCTCGAAGCCAAAATTCATGGAAAAGTGTAATGATTTTAAGAAATGTTAATGGTAATACTAAATTTGCATTATTTGTAAATGATCCCTACCTTACCACAGTGTGAAACTTTCTGAGGTCAAGACAAAATCGTGAACATTTCTTGCATGATCTTTTGTGATAATGGGGAAATCTTTAAATGTCTTCAGCGGTCATGTCAAACTTGTGAATATCTTCCGCAGTCACAGCAAAGTTGTGAACTTTTTCTTTGGTAGCAGCAACATCATCATTGTTTCCCCCTAATGTACGATGCAAAACATATCATACAAGAGAGCGGAATAATCGTCAACGCATCTTTGCAGGTGTTTAACATCTTGACAATTATTTCCTTTGTGAACCAATCTCTCTGGCCAACTGTTGGCCCATCCCAACCCTAAATTGGGTATTTTTGGCTACTAGCGACCTTACAATGGAAAAGTACAATGCTCTATCAACTTCATGATGACTAATGTAATAGTTTAATCCTTTAGAGTTACAATATCTACCTGAGACAGTAAGTGTGGACCTCCTAGCGTGATGCCGATGGAGCCTAGAGGAGCGGTCACTAAGATGCTGAGGACTGCTATGGTCAGGATCTGCTCTCCACGGTCAATGTCTATAGGGTCAGGGTTCTCTGAAGACTTGCGAACCATGTCCAGGGCGTCTGGGGCTAGAGCAGCCTGTCAAACATACAAGTTACTCTGTCATGCTGCAAAGAAACGGCCGTGATCAATACTTGTCTTACGGAACTGAAGTAATAAGTTGTAATAAGTAAGATTTTCCTCAATATCAGATCATGTTCCAGGGATATACGTTCTTGCCAGTTTGTAATTTTTTCACTAAAAAGTGGATTAGCTTTTAACTTTTATTCAACATTTATTAAATTCTCAAAATTATTTTAACAAATCACAAGTAATGTTTTAGAGTTTTCCCAACACTAATTTTTGATAATGAACTAAAAACACGGTCGTTGTAAAAAATGGGCCCCTTGAGGTTTTAGATTTATTGGGGACGCAAAAAAGGGAAAATTGCCCCACAAGGTAGGTAGAGATGGGCACAATTGATACTTTTAATACTTTATTCTGAATAAATTAAATCGGTACGTCTTTCACAAATAAGCTCCAAATTCAACTTGTACTAATTAATGCAAAGAGTTTTTATTTCCATACCTGGACTGTTGCTTTTGGAAGCCAAGCCAAATTGACAAACAAAACTTCTTTCATATTCAACTTGCCCCCAAGTAGGACAAAGCAGCAACAAATTATTCTTACCTGAAAAAAGATTTTCATTTCAACAACTTAATGTAAACAGTAGTAGTTTTTGTTTATTTCAATGCCTAATATCACAAAAAATACAAAAAAAATTTTTGTTAGTTACAACTGTTTTGTTAGTAATTTTTTTAGAAAAATTGTTTGAGCTTTAGGGCTGAAGGCACAATCTTTTTTTCATACCTTAACAAAATAAATATTTATCTACTCCAAGTTGTGTGGATATCCATCATAATTGGAGAAAATTTGTCACATAGACCATGAGCATGGCTTAATTTGACTAATTTCACACCAATATGGGTAGTTGACACCTGGAAATTTTAATAACCTACTTTTAACTTAAGTGGGAAAAGGTCCTGGATCAGTCTACTGGTGCTTCTGACACAGTGGCAGCAACGAACCTTTTTTTTCCTGGTTCAAAAAAATCACGCATAATTCCCGGTTTCCAGGTTGGTGGACACCCTGTTGCAAGGTAAGTTCTATGTTTCCTATGTATTCCAGAAGTTACAGTACTCACAACTAATGCGCCAAATATAACAAGGAGGCCGGAGCTGATTGTCTCGTAACGCAGCTCGTTGAGATCTATCTCTGCTCCTATGAGGCCAAACAACATCGGCTGCAGCAGTAGCCAAACTTTGCCAAACACAGTCGACACTGGGTTCTGCAGAAATAAACACTTTGCTCAGTAACTAAGATCTTTTCCAATAATAGGTTAAAGGTTTGAGGCAATAACAAGTTCTAAGCGGTAGAATATTGTTACAGCTTAATTTTTAATTGTAAATTTGTCTAAGAATATTTTTCCTTACTAGGTTGGCTTACCTTATAAAATATAAAGATGTTGGTCAGATCAATTTTTCATGGGTTATGACAACCATAATGCCTTTGGGTAACTGAACCACTTTAACCATTGATCAGATTATCCTTTTTTGCTCTGTATAAGTTAGAGCTTATTTTCAAAAACCTAAATTAAACATGAATAAGTTTCACATTACTACAGTGCTCTGTTTTGATACAGATGTTAAATATTTGTAAAATGAAAAGTGAAAATGTTATTTCACTAAACTACTGTGAAATCCTGTTTCCATTAAATGTTTATTGTTTATTACCTGTGAAAATTCATCATTACATTCTTTACTACGCAAAAAGAATGTTTACTATCCAAAAGTAATGTTTACTATTTTTTTTTTCGACATAAATACCAGACGTTTTTAATTTTTCCTCAACTGTTTTAATTTGTAACAAGCAAAACTATACAATCAATGTAAATTTTAACACAAAATAGAAGGCCTTACCCTTACCTAAAACATGTGTTTTGAAAAGTTCCTAACTATAGTAAAAAAATATTCCAGCCTTTTTTTAATAAAAAAATAATTTAGTCTTTGTAGTGTAGCGAAAAGTAACATTCAAAACACAAGTGAAAGTGAGTCATTACATATTTGAGACTACATTTAAAGTGCTCGATAAATCTCACATTTATACATAACATAAGGTCTCAAACGTGCAATGAGTCACTATCTACTCTTGTTATGAAATATACGATTATCTTAAGTTACTTGAGTACGAGATAGTGTTTTGTAGTTTCGTACATCCAATGGTGGTATTTTTTATATCATTTTTAGTAAATAGATTTTCTATTTAACCAGATATGTAAGAAACTAATTGTTTAACCAAAATTTAATTTAAGCTGTAAAAAGGTTAAAATGCCTGATTGGTAATCACTAGGAGTATCTTTGCTCTTACAATCGACTATGTACTTTGTAGTTGTTGTTACATATTTGAAACACATAGTCAATTCTAACGTAAATGCAATTACTAGGTAGTTCCAGATATTTGAACCTTTTCACAGTTTTTGTCATAGTGATTCGGAATAAACAACACAATATGAAGGAAAATTTAAGATTAGCACAGGGTTCGTTCAGAGAAAAACTACTTTATCAACAAGTCTACGTAAACAGGACATTTTTTATAACTAAATTGTCTAAACAAGAAGATAGCCAGTATTTTTATACATACATGAGAGTCCCAGCCCTGATGTTTCCAACACAAACAGCCGACAAAACTGGCGGTGATGCACGCTAGAGGTCCGGCGCCGGGGAACTCCAGCATCTCGGCACCCAGGATGGCGCACAGGCCACCGGCGCCGATCATCACTGAGCGCTTCAGCACCACCAGTTTCTGCAATCACAGAAAAAAAAATATTACTGGATCAAGTTTAATTTAATCAATGGATTTTTGTACATAAGTTTAAGAAAAGAAACTAAATGGTGTAGTTAAAACTTTAAAGCAAATAAATATTATGTTTGTAAGGATGTTTGTAACTAGGAATGTTTTTAAAGGAAAACGTAAAAATGTACTAATTTATTTAGCACTAGCACCTCTCTTTATTAACCTTAAACATTTTGTTCAAGGAAAGATTCTAGGTCAAAATCAGTCTTTGGAATCAAGGGTTAGCAGCTGGATTACATCAGTAAAAGTACCAGTAAACCACGAAACACAGAAAAAAAATATTTTGTAACCATTTCGTGCAGCCCTGCCAGTGATCCAGTGTAAACATAGAGAGTATCTTTAGTGTGAAAGTTGTAAAGAAATAAACTAAGCAAAATACGCCTACTAGATAAAGACAGTACGACACTTACGTCATTTCTGTGTGGGATAACAGCAGTTAACAATCCCCACGCAATCCCAATGGCCAATCCCACCAACATCTCCAGCGGCCCTTGTAGCAACTGCCGTGAGATGTCAGAATCTGTAAACAGTTATGTAACTTTAAAAATTTAAACTGGAAAAACTACTACAAACATATTTTTTTGCCTTAAAAGTTCAAGTCTTAAACTTTTAAAGGTTCAACATAAGCATTAATAACACAACCAATCCTCCACTTGCAATCACGACTCATCAAAATGGCTTTTTAAAATCTAGACCTGAGATGTGTTGCTATCTAGGAGCAACTATTGTTCATAACTTTGAGTGCACTACTTTTGGTTGACCAATGTACAATACACTGTGACTACTGATGAAAGTCCAACAAACCAAGGCGTCGTTTCTTAAACCAGGAGACATTACTGTTTATTTAGGATTTGAATCTGGCTTAGGTTAAATAATCAGGAGTTCATCCGTCATAAAGCGTGGGGAGAGGTGTGTCTAAAATAAACGGTGAGCAACTCGACTGGAAGTTAATGGACTAGATTTCTTAGTTGCACATCAAAATAGGCATTATGTTATTTTTACCCTGACTGTGTGTGTAACCTACCAAAAGTGTTACATTATTCCATTTATAAGACGAAGGAAACATTTATGAAAATAGACATTGTTGAATTATATCACTAAAATATCTATGAAGTTTCAAGAGAACTATCTCTCTCAACCGTGAAAGCTTTCTCAATCTAAAAAGAAAAAAATTGGTAAAAAAAAAGTTTTCAATTTTATTTTATCATCAATAATTTAAAATCTATGTAAATATCATGATTGAGGATGGCATGAGAAAGAAAGAGAGAAATGCTTCAAATAACACTGAGAGATACACTACTAGACGCTAGTAGTATTAAATTAATCCAACGGCAATCAACTGTTGACTTGACTGTACAAAATAATAAAAGTGGCGGGGGAAAAGTTCTCAGGCACAAGTGTTTCCTGCTTGCCACTCTTATTGACACAATATATACATTTATCCAAGAGTATCTCTCCAAGATCAATATCCAATCACTAAAGATTATTTTCACTATCCCTGTATTTACCGAACAACATAAACGGTAACATGTTTTTCAAGTACTCACTGCCAGTGGAGAATATCATGCTGAGACAGATGCCATAGATGGATATAGCCAGAACGTCGTCCATGCTAGATGCAGCTATGACCAGTGTAGCGATGCCTTTACTTTCTCCGTAGCCCCGCTCTTGCAGCCCCAACAACACAGGGACCACCACGGCAGGCGAGACTGCGCTCAGCAGGAAACTGTCAACAATCACCACTGTAAATAGCTACAACTACAACAATTGAATTGAATAACTAGTTCAATCCATCTAAGATGAAGCAAGGTCGTGAAATATTGAATTGGATTTAAAATTGGCAAAAATAGATTGTTTGGTAAACCTGAACTTACCCCAGCAGTAGGCCCCAGAGCCAGGGATAGCCTAGGATGTAGTGAGAGACCACAGCAGCCCCAACAGCCTCAGCTATGCAGGGACAGATAGCCAGTCTGATCACTACCAGGGACAGCTTGAGGAGAGCCACAGGGTCCAGACCTAGCCCTGCCTTGATGAGGATGACACTCAGCGCCACCTCTCTGTAACACCATCAGCTGATCAGTTTAATAATCAGGTGAGAACGATAACCTTGCCATGGTTACTACTGTTAGGATTACAATAATTACATAACCTATGCAACTTACATTGGTAGGGTTGAAGACCAAGTAATTTTCACAACATAAAATCTCAGAAAGATAGCTCAAGATCCTACCGACTAGTGCACACTTTATGCTGACCATTTCTCTTCAGTTCTTTTGTGTCCATCGGATCGTTGACAATTAACTACTATGACAAGACTAATCGTTTCATAGAGGTTACGACCAGTGGTAAATTTTCCAGTGTGTGAACCCAGTGTGGGAACGCTCACAATTTTCACAGAAAAATACTGATCGCTTACTAATATATAGGTTCTTTGGAAAAAGCAGAGTGGGATTCCAAAGTGATCCGCACCACTACACCACTGGTTACAAACATAGAATAGTACCGGTAGTGGACGATATAAAATCACAGCAGTGGTATCAGTTTTTAACTAGCTTCCTTGCGTTTGGAGCATGTTGGACTCTTTAACTTATAGCCATTCCTCAAAATAAAGGAAATATCATACACAGTCGGCAGCCACAACACCATCACAATTACTGCAAAACAAATTAACAGAGGAAACATAGCCAAGAGACCAAAAAAAAAGTGAATTCCTTACCTGAGTGTAACAACAACGTGCACGTAAACTCCAGAGATCTGATAGAAGCCAGATGTTCGCAGAGCTATGCCTGTGATCAACATGCCAAGCAGCGGAGGCAGACGGACCAATGCAACAACCTTGCCAGCCAAGAACGCTAGCAACACCAGGACAAGGATCTTGAACAGATCCCCGCTTGGCGTCACCTGAAAACAAATACCATCAGATAAGTTGGGGACACATCTTTTAACACATTTCAACTCAAAGATGAATGTTCGAAGTAGAATAGCGTAAAACGTCTTGAGTGGCTTTTTACTGATTGACTAGCTGTTTCATTTTCGAAGCCCCTTTATTTAAAGCCAGATGGTCAAGGAAAGCTCAGTAATGTTTTGAAACATCAAAAGGTGTCTGACTTTTTTCAAGATCAAACCAAACCGGTAACCTTTGTTTTTTAGGCGAGCACTCAAATACCCAGGATTAAATTTAGACAGCATCTATATATTAATAGGCAAGCATGTTTCTTGAAAACCCTGTTTCTCAGCTCGTGTGTGTCGCAGGGAAAATCTACGCATATTGTTTGAAAGATATTTTCCTGTAGTTGTGCAGAATCCCTTTATAAATTAAAATAGGTTAAAAAATAAGCACAAAAATAAATTTTAATTAAAAAAAAAAACATAGGCCTTATGGGTTGCCATGCTGGTAACGAAATAACAACCAAAAACAAAATATAAACATCAAATAAAAACAAATAGAATAAATTCCAATCACATGTTTTATTTACAGCGTGGGATGAAAATATAGAAGTATGTACATTAGACATTTTTGGTTGAGTTTTTGATCACTGGAGGATTTCTAGTACCAATTTATGTACAGATATCTTATGGTGTTTATACCACCTCATAATTTCTTCCTATAAAAATTTATATCACTGTTAAATTTTATTACAATGAGAGCGAACAGTTACCTCATTATGTACAAGGCTGTACAACAATCCCCATAACAACGCAAGGAACACCAGTAACCCAAAGACTTGCAGAGTCCAGCTGTTGGCGCAACCACAGGGATCTTCCAGCTGTGACAGGTACCATGGCCTGCAACAACAACAACTTCAATAACATTTATGATTTGTACCAGAAACAGTGGCGTAAATAATACCCCCACAACCCCCGCAGTGCGGAGGAGCACAGAGATCAGACTGTCACAAATCACCACAATTGCAAAAAAAGATGACGATGTTTACGTGACCAGGGGAGGCAATGATGACTTCAAGACCGCGTATTTTGAACAAGATGTTGCCATAATCACGGAAATTGATGACAAGTCTCAATGACTGTGGGAGGCGATTAAAAAACGTTTTTGAGAGTTTTTGGATTTTGCCGCGATCAAGGCTTTTGCTGTGATAAACGAATAAAACATAATTGGTGATGTTTTCATTGGTGGGGGGAGGGGGCACCATCTACACGTAGTGCGGGGGGGGGGGTCGCCACTTTCGCCACTGACCAGAAAGAAAAAAAAATTAATAGTAAATTTTTTAGTACCGTATGGGAAATGCTATTTAAACAGATCACAGCTGCACTATTAAGGAATTACTTCATCAGAGCTACCAACTGAGACTACTAGAAACCCATAAAAACCACAAGAGCACAACTTCAAGAATGTGTAGCCTTGAATGAGCTGAGTGAGACTAACTGGCGCAGAGCAAGACACTGTTCTCAATTTTTTTTTTTTGTTTTTTTTTTGCGGTAAATAGTTTAATCTTGATCAGCCACCACCGGAATAAAAGTCTGAAAAAATCTGGTTTTGGGTTTTATGTGTACCTATCAATTGGAAGTTATAATGGTACTATTGGGTATTTTAGACAAATCCTTATAGTGCGAAATTCTAGGAGCATCACAAAGTTTTGATAGCGACAAAAAATAAAATAAAATCACCAATGTCCTAAGTGCCTCTACAATCGCTGAAAACCAGGGTGCCACAAAAACTATTTAATTCAAAACAATATCTCTTTATTTCTTAATTTGAGTATTCGTGATCAAAAAATAATGTCAGTCAATTTTTTTTTGTGTTCACGTCCAATTACATTAAATTTAAAATGTATATCACTCTAGCATCACACATTTTATACGCAAGCAAGAAAGGAAATAGACTTAAAATGTAACCACAGCGGTTCATGACCAGAATGGACAAACTGTCTAGGGACTCATCAATGTAACGGGACAGTGAATGTCGAATCTGCCACAAACTGGTGTTGTATCATCCAACCTTGCAACTTCCTGTCACCTGGTCTATTACCATCCTATTGGTCCACTGTCACGAACAATCTGCCAGATTTTGTATTCGAGAAAATCAATTTGTTCACTTCTACTGAAAGTGAAGTGACAATTTCGAAACTCATCAGAAACTTTTATAAAGTTTTAAAATTCATTACAAATTTTTGATTTAAAATTAATTTAAATAACTTTTTGTTTAAATTTTTTGGCAGTCCACAGCTTGAATTAGGGTTAATTGCGTTATTTAATTTGATATATGAATTTTAAATATATATATACTTTTTTGGAATTGTAAAAAAAACCTTAATCCATCCTTACTTTACCTAATGTAACCTAACTTGTTTGAAGGAGTGTAAAACAGCTTATAGTTTAATTTTTATTTTTGTACAAACAGAACATTAATTTTATAACTTTTTGTTATTTATTTATCTAGGCTTCCTATATAATTTTGAATTAAAAATCTTTTTCATCGATGCGACTTTGGTAGCTCATAGTCCTTTTAAGAGTTAACCTAAACTAAAAATTTAAAGCGTTATAAAAGTTTACTTAACTATTACAAGTATATTTTTTTACGAGCAAGAGTAATCTTTCAAGACAAAGAGATATAAATATATATAGACAGAAATTGATTTTTACCATTCCATTATTTTACTTTTTCACTACCAGTATCCCTCAAACTATTTCTCCACCAAAGACAAATTTTTCTAAGTATGATGAAGTACAAAAAAAAATCTAAAAAAAAAAAACATCATTAGTAGGCTATTTATTTGTTTAGGAAACTCAGTTAAAAGAGGGAGGTTCTGGAATGCTGGAATGCATGTTCCTCCGAGAATTGAGCACTTTAATAAAACAATTTTGTATTGACAATACAGGAGGAATACCGCAACGAAAAACTGACCAAATCAACAACGATATTCCAGGTATAACAAATCAGCATGTCTTCTCTCATGCAAATGTTGAACACTAATGTGTCAGCAATAATGATTCCCAGAATATTGGGCTGAGTTGAGTGTGTTAACATCTGATAAAGGAATCAGCTGATGTTAAAACCAGCTGATGTTGGAATCAGCTGACCTTGAGACAGCTGACTTTTATTAGCATTCAATGGCAACTCAGCCCACATACTTCACCTTCACTCTCACAATGGCAATTACCTGTATACTGTACGTTGTACGCAAGTGTTGCATAACAATAGGTAATGAACTGACCATACACGATACACGTGCACTGAGTTATTCACCTTCGGAAAAACTCCTTCAGTTACTTGGATCCGTTGATTGATATTACAATGTAATAGCGGCTTAGGATATGATTAAAATAGTGAATATTATTTCTTTGATGGATTTTAACCGGGAAAATATAGGAATTATTCCCCTGAAATTGTTTATAAACCATCTTACTTATCCTTTTCAAAAGTGAAAACACAAATAAGAATAATGTACCGAAGTTTTTAAAGCGACATAAGAAAAGTCACTGTATCCCATTAATTTAAGAACCTCAATTCATCAGTTATTATACAGAACATTCTCACTGCTTGGTTCAATCAGCTGTCCATTAATTTTTTTAATTTAAATAAAAATAAACACATTTTTGGGTTTTGTAGCATTTTGTAGACACCAAAAAGTATTTACTTCCAGAAACTCTACATCAAAAAATATGTATCGATCGATATAGAACAAAGCTTTTGTATCCTATGTATTGGTCATTATTGTGTTAATAAATTTCTTTATTGATTGATTGATTGAAATGTGATCATGGAAATGGACATTCAATGTATGTTGTTAAGGTTAATAAATGGTGTGTTATGAATGTTTCAAAGTGCAATGTAAAAATGTCAGTACTAAAGTAAATGTCTTTAACACTACCATGCCTCTTTGTTAAACTGAAGCTTTTGAGACAAAAAAAAAAATCGGGGTACAATCTTTCACTATTGAATACTGAAGTAAACATCACATTCTATATGGACCAGCTGTCGCAAAATTTTTATTGAAAAAGAACATAGTTCTGTGAGCCAGTCAGAATGTGGTAGTGTATAAAATTCTATTTTATACTTTTTTTGTTTCTGGCTAAATAGATGGGTCAGTTTGCTATAGCTCACTTATAAGTCATTCCATTAGTTTGACTTGGTAAAAAGGTTCGTGTGTTTGAAAGAAATTAGTTTGAGCAGCACAATCTGTCGGTGGCTCACATCAACTTCAAACAATTTTGATCAAAAAACTGGTGACAACTTTAACATGGGGATGGAATGTCTAGATGTGTCAATAGTCAAAGGGGACACCCACTATAACTACTTTTCCAATTTATAACTACACTAGCTCTTTAATCCATCTTTAAGCCATTTTCAACCGATCCTAGCAAAATGTGAAAACCAACCTAATCCAAACATAAGTTGCCATCCTGGATCAACAATATTATCATTATTATGTATTACCAGTTGAGATAGGGGCCTAGTTCTCAAAATTCACTCGTATTTGGTACGAGTATCCAAATACGAGTGAATTTTGAGTGAGATACCGATTGTAGCTTTGTTACAGACTAAGATCAGCTGTTTCATTAGCCAGGACCATGTATAAAAGCTCAACGGTAAAGGACAGCTGGGTTCAATTTCGAACCATCAAAAAGCTACTAACTTTTCTCAGGATCCAACCGACGACCTTTTGATTACTTGACGAGCACTATAACCACTCAGCTATCCAGCTATTTGTTCAAAAGACTTTGGTCAAAAGAGCAACCATTGACATGTACTAAAAAGAAACCAATTGTATTATTTTCGAACAATTTAAAGGCACACATTTAAGAAGTAATGTATTGAAAAACCACTGCAATAATTAACTGACAAGGAAGTGCAGTAAAGATAAAATCTCAAGAGACCTTGGTTACGTTTAGTTCCTGGATACATTACATTGACCATTATCATGTGGGAACTTAGTGGATAAAAAGCCAGTTTAATACTTCTGGTTAAATAACTCAATTACACAATCTGTCATTGAGAATTTATGACAAAAAAGTCAAAACCAACTACAGTCAGCAAACAATATATTCTCTAGATTTATCATCCTAATTAAGCTGACTCAAAGTATTCCTGGACGTAAACCTTTTAGATAAAAAGTTTACGCCCAGAAATACTTTGAGTTGAGATTATGTGTTTTTAGCGAATTTCCCATATAGGGAATAAGCTATTACAATAGGTCAAATGGTAAGACCTGGACCTGAGAACGATTTACTTTTTCGATTTGAGGTCCCCTGAGGCCAAAAACACCATCTGTTCAAATTCATATACATATATATATATATGTGTGCGTCCGTTAACATGATAACTGAAGCAAAAGAGATCGGATTTTGATGAAATTTTGTATTAAACATGTAAACCTACATTTATTCAAACAAACCAACATGATCAGACTATGGAAACGGAGTTTTATGGGGTAAAATTGGGTCTTCCCATTTTGACCCTAAAAACATAACATTTGCAATTAAAAAAGAAACTATTTTATAGAGCTTACAAAATAAATAATTTACAATATTGAAGTACTGTCATGCGCCTGATCGAAAAAAAACCTGTAAATTTAAAATTAACATCTCCATAAACTATAAATCAGGATATATATGAGATTATTGTGGACATTTTTCACCACGATTAGTAAAAATTAAAGTTTTTAAGACGCATCTTGATCTGGAATCTGATCCCCTCCTCAGGTAAGAGAGGATTAAAGGTAATGAATGAAATGTATGATTAAAATGTATGTATCTGTAGTGTTTATCACCTAAGAACGGCATCATATTCCAAATCCAAAAACCTCGTAAAACCTTTTGTGAAAAATGTCTGCACTAATCTCTTAAATAGCATCAACTCACCATCAACAAGGATGAAATTCAGTTAGTCATGTTTTTAAGGTTTATGATTTTGAAAATAAAACATTCAAAGAACAGGTGATTAATGACCTGAACTGACAAACTGTCTAGGGACCGATAATGAAACAGGGAGGATAGTGAATCTGCCACAAACTGGTGTGTATCGACCAACTCATCTGGTCTGTCGAGCTATTGATCCTGCTTGGATTTTTATTGACTGTCATTAAAATGATTTAAATAATTTAATCAGACCTGTAATTTTTTTTCAAAACTGATCTAATTTTTGTTTTGTTTAAATTACCCATTTGAAAACAACTGAAGAGACATAACTTAAAGTCCTGAAGATAAATTGATGTTTCGTAAACAGATTAATATTGAATAACTATTTTTACTTGAGTGTTAATCTGTTCACATGGTGTGTATAGAGTGTTATGGCATATTTAAAATCTTAAAATCCTAATATTATGTTAATACCTATTCTTGATACTGCGATATTTAGATTGTTGTGATTTAAAGTATTCATGAAATTTTTTTCAGTTGTGATCAATTTATATCTTATTCCTTTTCTGACGTTACCCTTGAACTATCTATATAAATACAAATGAATCCCTTTTTTTTATGGTATTTCATAACTCGCGAACGAGTGAGCCCAGCGAACAAGCTCCAAGCAAAAAGTGAGTGAGTATATAGCGAACGAACTTCAACCAGGACGTTATTGAGCGATGTGAATGAGCTCATCTTGAAAATGTAGAAGTGTTTGACATATAACCACATTAGGACAGGACGACGTCTGTCGGGCCAGCTAAAAAAATTTTACTAAACCAACAAAATTAATAAATTCTGTATATAGGCCTAAACTATAAACATCTTACTAACCTGTTAGGAGAGTTCTCTTCAGGTGAGTTTTCCTGGACTTTGGCAGGTGTGTCGATGATGGAAATAACGGGATCTTTACTGGCAGTAGCATTTTTCTGGTTTTCTGAAAACAAACATTAAATTAATCAATATGCAAGTTTAAAAAGTGTATAGGTCTAACTTTTTTTCAGAATAAGATTATCCAACTAACAGGAACAACTGGTACTATTAATCAAAGATATAGGCAACTTCTTTAAAATTGTTTGAAAAACTTTATCTGCTTTCAAAGAACTGTTATATGATTCATATACAAAAAATTGTATAATTATAGGTATCTACAGTTAAATTTAACCACTTCAAAAAGCACAAAATACACCAACAGAGTTATAACTCTATAACAAAGAACTGAAAAAAACAGCAAAACAAAGTCCACATTAAGTACAATGTGTATGGCTTACACATGAAATCAAGAAAGTCTATCGTTGAAAAGCACACAACGTCAGATAAAAGAGCAGACAATGGTCTACTTTAGAACGATCATCCGCTGTCAATATCTCGGAATTCTCAGCGATGCATTAGTTTGGCGATGAATCTTTCTTGTTGAGGAATGCTACCTATTGATCCGAGGTTGTCTTGATTCTCACACTTGTACATTGTACATAAATTGTATTGTTACAAGTAAAAACTTATTTTGAATTCAATATCTTATGATTTAATACAACATCTTGGTTAAATTCTATATTTAGGGATGTACGTTTGCAACACAATAAATAGGGTGGACGATGAAAATATTGCTAAGAGACCTGTAATTAACAAAATTATTTAACATAAAACTACGTAAAATGCAATTTAAAAGCTTACATAATGACAATAATAAAAAATTGTTTAATTTTAATATTCAAGTCCTCATTATCTTAAATATTGTGTCCGCCAACAAATTCAATTTTGAAAAATAATGAAAAGTTATTACAACACAAAAACTAGAGAAAGAGGTTCACTAGATTAAAATTGGTCATTATTAGAGAATAATAAAATTTTTTGTAATAATGTTATAGAAAATAAATCTGAGCAAACTTGACCAAGAAATATATAATTTTGTAGCAGTGTAGTACGGTCGAGTTTACATGTGTACTACCTGGTTAAGCTTGAGTTTACATTAAAACATAAATCTCAATAATTTTACTTTGCAGTCGTGTTGTGTTGTACGAGCAAACATGAAAGTTTAGCGAGAATGTTTTGATTAGTGTTACTTTATTGGATATTGAATGTAGCATGGTTAATTAATTCATATGGTTTCAACATTGCAATGAATGTGAACATGCAATATGAAAGTTTACTAATTGAATATTGTGTAAAACTAATCAAAATACACTATTGTTTATAACTCTTTGTGTCAAATCTTTGTGAGGTTTCTTATTCACTCTGATAAAACTACTAGAACAATCAGATTTTAATCAAAATTATTTAATCATAATAAACAGATAAAAGGTAGATTGTCTTTGTCTGACTGGCTGAGCAGTTAGTTATAGCGCTCGCCTTCAAATCAGAAGGTTGCTGGTTCAGTCCTAAGCGTAGTCAATATATATTTTATATTTATTTATTTATTGCCAGTCACAATTTCTCAATAAGTAATCAATCAATAATGCCAATTTACAAAAGGTTGCAAAAATATCACGAGTAGCAAATCCAGGATTCAGTTTCCTTCAAAAATTACCAAAATGTCAATGGTATCACAGACCAAAAACCACAACAAATGATTTAAGACCAATATCCTTGATACAAAACACCTACCTACCTTGATACCTAACCTAACCTAACCTATCCTAACCTAACCTAATAAATTTATCAATCGGACTAATCGAGTCCGTCACACAAAGAAGACTTCTTCACACCATTGTAGACTTCACAATCGATATTGACTACAGACTTGACAGTAGCATTATTGTTGCCAAACAATTTCATAGGTCTGCAACTGCGCTATTTGGTGCTTGACCTGACAGCCACAATTAAGCCCCCTCCTCACCCTACCAAACCAACCCCCTAACACCCACCTGTACCTGAACTGACTGAGATGACACGGGCTTGTATAGTGTCAAAAACTATTATTGACTCGTCAGCTGTATTTATTTTACTCTACATCTGTTCTTAAGACTAATATAGTTCTTAACCAATTGTCGTACTAATTTTTTTAGTTACATTTTTATTTGGTTGTGGCAACTTGTTCTTGATGTTGTTCTAACAAACAAAAGGCGACAACCAAATAAAAAGGTAACCTAATTATTAACAGTTTTTGAGACAGAGTAATAGTATGAACTTTAATTTTAGTTACACCAAGTATTGGTTTTTGGATACATTAATACTCATGCTTTAGCAATTTTTTAACGTGTTTTGTAATAAATGAAATTAAAAAAATTACAAGGCTATTATACATAATTGTTTATAATTTTTTCCCCTTGATCACAATACTATTAACTTCAATAACATAAATTTTTGTGCTAAAGTTTCTTGAACCACGTGTTTCAACAACATTTTTCTCTCTCTGTTAATAAAACAACACTGCAATCAACATTGAAATTGGATCTGAGACAAACAGAAAGTCAGAATAAATTTGTAATTAATTTTGAACCCAAATCAATTTGGGAAAGGTTCACTAAGGCTTCGCTTGATTAAAACACTTCCTTCAATACTTTGTGTAAATATTTACTCCAAACTAACATCACAAAACAGCCATTTCAAACAGATAATACCAACCAGACAAACCTAGGTGTTGTAGTCTTAGCAGAGTTGTAGCAAACTACAACTGTTTTAAATAATGTTTTGACGCAAAGGATATCTTAATTTTCATTCCTTTTCCAGATCTTAAAAAGTCAATTTGATTTTCTTTAATTGAAAACAAACCTGATAGCAATTATCAATCATTGGGATGGAGACGCCACCTCAACGGATGTGCATATTTTATTATTACCCAAATGAGTGAAGGATGAGTGTAGGATACAGTGTAATGATAAATCAAAGTAATAACTCTTTCAAACCAATAAGAAGATTATTTAAAGCTATTTGGTCAGATTAACATCATTAAGTTGTTGACCGAGATAAGAAAATAAGAAGATAGAAGGCTATAGTAGCACTTATTATTTCAATTTTTTTATGAAACTATTTATATTGTTTACTATTTCAACAGATAACAGTGCAATCAAATTTAAAATCTTCAATAATTCGGTGTCAGGGCTTCATATGATGAATACAGAATGGCTAAGTATTATTAATTATAACTAAGCATAACTGACCAGCATATCTATATATTAAAAAAATACTAGAGGTCATCTAATGATCGAAAACTCAACCAAAAATATTTAATGTACAGAATTATTTATTTCCACACTACACTGTACATAAAACATATGATTGAAATTTATTATATTTGTTTTGATTTTCTGTTTATATTTCGTTGTTTTTTCGTCACCAGTATGGCAACGGCCATAAGTAAAAAAATATCTCATTTAGGAATGAGCAATAGAATAAAGCATACGTAAGAAATAAAACATTTTAAAACTTGGATTTAGGAGTTACAGTATTGCAAAACAAGTAAAAGAATGAGTTTAGAAACGTTACATGCAAAAGAAAGAATCCACTTGAATTCTGAGACATATTGTGTTGTAAATCAAATAAGCTGAGAATCATATGCACTTTTAGTTGAGTTTTCCTTCTGTAAAATTACTCATGACCCACAATATGACATAAAATTTTACATCTTAATAAGTCGTTGTATGGGGTACAAAATAACTAGGTGTACAATGCAGTTGTCTGCTTGCAATATTGAGCGTAGCTAGCATATTAATCCAATACTGTTCTAAAGTCAATGCTACATCTGTTCCTCGTAGATGAGATTAAATACTTGCAGTTTTTTTATGAAACTATTTATATTGTTTACTATTTCAACAGATAACAGTGCAATCAAATTTAAAATCTTCAATAATTCGGTGTCAGGGCTTCATAAGATGAATACAGAATGGCTAAATATTATTAATTATAACTAAGCATAACTGACCAGCATATCTATATATTAAAAAATACTAGAGGTCATCTAATGATCGAAAACTCAACCAAAAATATTTAATGTACAGAATTATTTATTTCCACACTACACTGTACATAAAACATATGATTGAAATTTATTATATTTGTTTTGATTTTCTGTTTATATTTCGTTGTTTTTCGTCACCAGTATGGCAACGGCCATAAGTAAAAAAATATCTCATTTAGGAATGAGCAATAGAATAAAGCATACGTAAGAAATAAAACATTTTAAAACTTGGATTTAGGAGTTACAGTATTGCAAAACAAGTAAAAGAATGAGTTTAGAAACGTTACATGCAAAAGAAAGAATCCACTTGAATTCTGAGACATATTGTGTTGTAAATCAAATAAGCTGAGAATCATATGCACTTTTAGTTGAGTTGTCCTTCTGTAAAATTACTCATGACCCACAATATGACATAAAATTTTACATCTTAATAAGTCGTTGTATGGGGTACAAAATAACTAGGTGTACAATGCAGTTGTCTGCTTGCAATATTGAGCGTAGCTAGCATATTAATCCAATACTGTTCTAAAGTCAATGCTACATCTGTTCCTCGTAGATGAGATTAAATACTTGCAGTATCCAATGTCAATGGTATATGTGGTTCACTTAAATGGAATGTCTATTTGCAGTATTCTAAGTCAATTATAAGTCTGGTTCACGTAAATGAATAGTCTACTTGCAGGAACAAAGCAATGGTTCATTTGATTCACATAAATGGAGTGCTTATTTGCAGTATCTAAAGTCAATGATACGTCAGGTTCACGTAAATGAATTGTTTACTCAAATCAAATCAAATCATTTTTCAACTTTAAACTCTTTTTTTGCTTGCAGTATCCAAACTCAATGGTACATTTATTGGTTCACGTAAATGAATTGTCTACTTGCAGGATCCAAAGTCAATGGTACGCCTGATTCACGTCAATATCCAAACTCAATCGTATGTGTAGGCCTAGTATAGATTTGGTTCACATAAATTGAATGACTATTTGGATTATTTAAAGTCAATGGTACATCAGCCTTATTCCGGCGACCATAATTAT